TAATCGACTCCCAGGTGAGGGGGTAGACTTGGCACTTTTCAGGTTTGTCTCAAGACTATCCATATACCTTTTCAATTACCCGCCGGCTTTATGTTTACTATTCATTAGGTGACTGTAAAGTAGCTGCTTTGGCAGTCTACTGTCGTCCATACGGGTAACATGGTCAGTCCAACATAGTTGTTCATGGATAATGGTAGCCTCGATGCTCCTACAGTTGGTGTCAGCAAGAATACTGGCATTTGTTCTCTTGTCTTCCCAGCGAACTCGGAGGATGGAATGTAGACTACGTTGGTGAAAGTTTTCAAGTGCCTTGAGGTGCCTCCTGTATGTGACCCATGTCTCACTGCCATATAGCAGGGTGGGGAGGACCACTGCTCGATATACGTGCAGCTTTGTAGATAATTTCAGCTCCTTACAGCTGAAGACATGATTTCGGTGTCTGCCAATGGCTTGAGATGCACATCTGATCCGATGCTGAATCTCTTCATCGATGTCTGCGGTGGTGGACAGGTGGGAGCCGAGATACCGAAAGTGGGCAACATTAGAGAGGGTAGTACCGTAAAGCTGGATGGATGGTGGAGGTGTATCTGAATCAGGGGCAGGTTGAAAGAGAATCTGAGTCTTACGTACATTCACCTCAAGGCCAAAGTGTGCACACGCGTCTGCGTAGGTGTTCAGGATCTCCTGTAGGTCGTGTTCAGTGTGAGCAACAAGGTTGAGGGCGTCTGCATACTGAAGTTCAGTATTGGAAGCTGCCGACATCTTTGTTCTTGTCTGAAATCATCTTTTGTTGAAAAGCCCCCCTTTCACCCGGTACTCGATGTTCACCCCGCTGGCTAAATTGGCACTGGCACGAGTAAGGAAGGCAGCCAAGAAGATGGAAAAGAGAGTTGGTGCCAGTACACACCCTTGTTTAACCTCTGTTTGGATGGGTAAGAACTCTGACTGGGTGCCATTGTACAGGACACTGCCATTCATGCCATCGCGGAGTTGCCTCACAATGGTGACGAATTTTGGTGGGCAGTCAAAACGGCTGAGGGTCCACCAGAGGGCTTCCCTGTTGACCGAGTTGAAAGCCTTGGTTAGGTCGATGAAAGCCATGTGTAGGTCACGACGCTGTTCTCTGCACTTTTCCTGTATCTGGTGGGCAGGAAATATCATGTCAGTGGTGCCACATGATGGCCTAAAACCACATTGAAATTCTGGGAAGTTTTCCGCCTCAGAAAGAAGTCTGTTTAGGAGGACTCGGGCGACAATCTTGCCAGCTACAGAGAGCAGCGAGATCCCACGGTAGTTGCCACAGTCTGACTGGTCTCCCTTGTTTTTATAAATATTGACAATGGAGGCATCTTTAAGAGCTTGGGGATTTCCTCCTTTTTCCCACATATTCTCCGGGAAAGAGTGGAGATGGCTGGTAAGCAGGGGTCCTCCTGCTTTATACACCTTGGCTGGGATTCCATCAGGCCCTGAGGCTTTGTTATTTTTCATCTGTTTGATGGCAGTAGCTACCTCATCCAGGGATGGAGGATAGCTGAGGTGTGTCAGCTCTGGATGCTGAGGGACTTGCTGGGTAGTCTGGACATCCACATTGGTGTTTCGGTTGAGCAATGAATGGTAGTGCTCTTTCTAGCGCTGAAGGAGGCCATCATCATCTTTAATTATGAGGTTACCTTCAGATGAGCGGAGGGGGGCTGCTCCATGAGTGACTGGCCCATAAAATGTTTTAGTGGAAATGAAAAACTCGCACATCTTGTGCTGATCTGCAAGTTTTTGTGCTTCACATGCTTTATTTTTAAGCCAGTCGTTCTTTAGATTGCAAAGTTGCCGCTGAGCTGCTGCTTTCTTCTTGTGGAAGGTGTCAGCTTTGGTCTGAGACTGAGGGTTGTTCTGCCAGTCAGTAAAAGCAGCACATTTACCATCGATGAGTACTGTACATACTTTGATTGCCGGGTCATTGTCATCAAACCACTCCTGGTGTATTCTTTTGATCTGGCCGAGGATCTCTCTGCAGGTTTTTGTCATTACAGTATTAAGAGTATCCCATTCGGCACTGGGATTCACGTTGTTTGCTGTTGGGTTGTTTATAAGCCCATGTTCAAGCTGCTCTCTGAAAGCATGTGCTGCTGCTGGATACTCCAGACGCTTAGTATTAAAACCTCTTCTGGAGGCTTGCTGCCTTTGCCGTTTTGGGGTGACGTGAAGTGAGAGCTTGTATCTGACAAGTCGATGATCAGTGTCACAGTGGTCTAACCCAGGTATGGCACGGGTGATGAGGACATCTCGGCGATCTCTTTCTCTGACAGTGATGTAGTCAATGAGATGCCAGTGTTTGGATCGTGGGTGTTGCCACGAACCCTTGAACTTATCGGCCTGCCTAAACAAGGTAATGGTGATAGCGAGGTTGTGTGCAGCACACTTGCTGAGGAGGAGTAGGCCATTGGAATTACACCTGCCTAGTCCATTTCTCCCTATGGTTCCCTGCCAACTCTGGCATTGAAGTCGCCAAGGAGCACAATCTTGTCTTCTCTGGGGATAGAGGTTAGCACTCTGTCGAGGTTGGCGTATAAGGCCTCCTTGATGTCATCCTCTGCATCCAGTGTTGGGGTGATGCACTGATGAAGAAGGCACGACGTGAGTGATTCGGTGGGACTCGAAGCGTCATGAGGTGCTCATTAATCCGAATGGGCATTTCAGTTAGCCTGTGTAGGATGAGTTGGCAGATGGCAAAGCCAACTTCATAAATGCGGTTTCTCTCCACAGCAGGATTACCCTTCCAGAAGGTGTAGCCAGACCCCAGTTCTGTGAGACGGCCCTCATCTGGGAGCCAGGACTCACTGATGGCTGCTATGTCAATGTTATACCAAGCCAGCTCTTTTGCCACAAGGGCAGTTCTTCTTTCAGGATGCACATTTGTGCCAGTATCCAGAAGGGTCCTGAGATTCTATGCAGCGACCATAAGATATTGTATGGATTATTTTTGTTTGGATCTGTGATTTTCGTTGTGTTTTTGACCGTATAAGGATGACCTTACTGGGTGTGGTTGCCTAGTCAGGTTGGATTTTTAGGCAGGCTATGTTTAGGGCACCTTTTCTAGCCCCCTCCCCATGTGGGGTGAGCAGAGTGGCTCCCCGAACGGGTTGCTCAGTCGCACAGACAGGACCGGATTGCACTGCTGCCTAGATCCCAGTGCATAAACGGCCATCTTATCTGTGCCACCCATGTGCAGAGTTGTGACTAGAGACTCCTGGCAGTCATCTCTGCCTGTACCCGTCGCCACTCCTCCGTCGCCATCGGACTTTTCGGAGTATAAGGGTTTTGATGTTTTTTTTTTTGTTTTTTTTTTTTTTTACGCGGATTAGCCCACCCGGGCACAGGTCACTGACCCACATCAGGTCCTGGGGGTGAAAATGTAAGAATAATAGTAGTAGTATCTGTAGTAGTAATAATAATACTAATACTAATAATAATAATAATAATAATAATAATAATAATAATAATAATAATAATTCATAGTAAATAAAATTTTTAATAAAAATACAAAAATTACAAATTAAATAATAAAATAATAATGATAATAATAGCAATAACAACACTGTAATAATAATAATAATAAAGAACCATAAAGAAATTCAAAAAATACAATAAAAATATCATTATAGTGAGAAACAATATATGTACTGTATGTTGTGTTGTCAAAGTAAGAGAAACAATTGAAACCTGCAATTGTGTGTAAATGAGGCAGAAAGTCAGATCAGCAACCTGGGACTTGGTCACAATTTTCGTGATGTCATATGGCAGCAGGGTTTACCATTAGACAATACATTATGCTTCCAATATCTTTACAGTGTACTTACATTGTAGCATATGAATTTTGAGATTATTGTAGCAGATGAATCTTGATGAATCTTAAGTTGAAAGACAACGGTGAGCCACTTAAACTTACTTTACTGTAGTGTCACTTATACTCCTTCATTTAGTTTCACTTATATTTATCTGTGCAGTTACACCTAAAACTAGCATTTATTTCTTGGTTCAATCACTGTCGGAATTGAGGATGCGAGGTGGCAGATCTAGGGCTACTACCAGATCTGACTCTGAAGTGTAGGGTAAGTGAGGCAGATACACAGACCCTTGTCTAACTAATGGGAGTTTCCGACTTGTGGAAGTCTGACTTAGGGGGGTTCTTACTGTACTAATGGACGAGTTGACGGTCGGAGATTTTTAGTAAGATGGCAGGTCAATGGGTAATAATATTTTTAGATAAATTGAGCCAAAAAGGGTAAAAAATAAGGGTTAAAGTAGCTAAAAAGTCACGTGACTGCGAAAAGCTCTGTGATTAGTTGTGACATCACATACTAGTGTGAGCCACAGACCGGGAATCAGCCAGCTGTGGAATATGTGTTGTTACCTACATAAATACAGGATTTGTGGCCATACACAATGTTCAAGTAAAGGACAAAGTGTCGTTGGTGCTTCGTGCCAATGTGCAAGAGTACCGACAATTTCTCACCAGGCAAAATATTCATCACAGTCCCGAAAGACAAGAAGATAAGAAAGAGATGGTGGCTTGCTGCTCAACGGTACTTCCCCATGTCAGAATACTGCATGTACTGTTGTGAAGATCATTTTGATGTGAGTATTAAGTTGATATATACAGGCATACCTTATTTTTAGGTTAAAATAAATTACTGCTCAAGTATCATCGTGTGTATTTACCTGCTGGGTACCAAAATGATGCAAAAGACCGAAAACTCCAACATGGAAGTTTTCATCACGGTTCTCTATTTTATGTCTGGAAATTTAAATTTTTCGTCACTGATGTCTATATTTAATGTTGTGGACGGACTAGGGACGACCATGGCCAGGAGATGGGCTTGAGATGATCAGGTGACAGATGTAATTTAACGTGCTTCATAGCTGGATGGCGGAGTTCTTGATAATACTATACAATCATAAAGCCATCTACTTTTGGTAAATTTCTTTCATCTGCCTTGATGAACCCTGGATGTAGGGACGTAGTTGTCCAACCTTTTCAGCTGATCGGCACTGTAAATAAATATTATTAGATAATTAATTGTGCTTTATTGTGCAACACAGTAATACTATTTTGAATATATAAATATTACTAAGCACAACAAACTAATTCAATGGATATTAGCTGCCCATAAAACAAATTCCATAGTACAGTGGTCCCTTGATTAACGAACACAATTCGTTCCACAGAGTCGTTCGTTAACCAAAAATTTCGTTAACCGAATCCATTGTTTCAATGGGATATTGGGAAATTGGTTCCAGCTCACAGAAAAAGTACATACAAAGAAAAAAAAATGCAGTAAAGTGCACTTACTTTGAGGTGTGTATGTAGAAGGTTCCTGGTTATGATGATGAAGGGAATTAGAAGTGGGGGTGGAGGAGAATGGAGAAGAGAAGGAAGTGGGGATGAAGGAGAAATCACCTTTCAGGGGACCCATGCTTGATGCAGTAATTTCACCAATAAAATTTTAAGTTCACTAGGTGTAATTCAAGATTATATTATTTAAATCAACACTGCACTGCGCTATATATAATCAATATGTTAACTAAATTTCAGAATGACCAATAATTTTAATGTGAAAATGCAAAAATATTAAAGAGCACAACTTTCTTGATATTTACTCCACTGGAAACGAATGTAAACATAGAACAGATTACTGAATTGGCAGACTAGCCCATCAACTGATCAGCTGCTCACAACAAAACATGTTTTTCGTAAGGATTTTGTTAATCGAAGTTTTGTTCGTTAACCGAATTGAAGATCCTTATGGGAGGTAATTCGTTAACCAAAATTTCGTTAATCGAACCGTTCGTTAACCGAGGGACCACTGTATAAATATTCCAAACAATATTGGTATTATTTTGGTTTTGGTCCTTTGGGAAACCTTAAGATCCTATCTATGGGATTAAGTACTTTAAACAACAAGACACATTATCTCCATAGGGATTTCTGTCGCAAAACATTTTTCGGTCGCTTAAGAAAATACAGATCATATGTTCGGTTAGGTTAGAGTATGATGAGTTATAAGGTTAGCTTAACATACATCAGTAAGGGGTGGGTAGTAACTCAAAACTAGTGATTTCCGATAGAAATTAAGGTCTAAATCATTCGTAACACACCGCAAACAATCAGAAAAAAATTCCCATAAGTCTGCTTGTCTAAGTACAGGGATGACCAATACTTAAAATTTACCCAATACTGTATAGCCTATCTCAAATCTAATCATCCGAATACTCATGGTAGTTAAAGTAAAATTTTACCCATTAATTAATATAAATGGTGATAAATCCCAGTGGTTCATTACTGAAACATGAAAACAATAACAGCACTATGTTGTCATGTCATCAGGCATTCTCAAAACAAAGTCCAGACAATGTCATTACAGGTACTGTACTTCTAAATTTACTCGTATCTTCATCTAGTACAGTACTGATATACTCTGTAAATGCACTGAAAAAAAAAAAGAGAAAGTCTACCAGGTAAGAGTACATGACAGCTGAGCTCGTGTTAGCATGGGAGTTTTTTATGTCCAAAAGAACATAAGAATGGAGGAAACTGCAGCGGGCCTATTGGCCCATACTGGGCAGTCCCATTTACACCCAACACCTATCGCACATATATCCATCCCACCTATGTTTGAAGCTGCTCATCACTGCACATTTCTTCACTTACGAAATGTCCATGACTTAGACAATAAAAAAAAACACCCGTAAAACTTACCTGAACGTGGCATTTGGGGTCTGAAGAGGCCATCCTTTCTACTACCTCCGACTGCAGCGGTGAGTTTGATAGAGAGCGTCGTCTGCAGGGTAAGGTGTGACGTCATTGTAAATGGAGGCCCTGTTACTAGAGAAATAAACTTATCTCGACAGCAGGACTTTAAACTTTTATTACAAATTATATATACCGTATCACTCTACGAACGTGGCAGTGTATTTCTTGTGTTTACCCAGAACTGTCAACTCGTCCATTCTTGGGAATAGATGTGGTCCTCTACTTGCCACCTTCCTCCCCCAGTCGGTGCTCAGTCTATGTGTTGACACTGGGCAGCTCACATTACTCTCATGTTTTGATTGTTGTGTTTCATACCATGGTGTTCACAATGTTTTCCAAAAAAATGATTGATGGATTGCCCAGAATCATGTAGTACAAAACATGGTAAGTATATAGAACTAACCAATGAGTGAAATTGATTGAAAAAATTATGAAAACACCAGATTTTCACTGTTATATTATAGTGGACACTGTTGTAGTTTGTGCAAATAAGTAAAAAATTTGATTATTTTAAAAATAAACGTTACTTAACATTTGTGGGTAAGAAAAACAGACCTAACCAACCTAACCAAACAAACCTACCCAACCTTACCTAACTTCCTAACTGGGGGCTCTGCCTCCCGGACCCCCCCCCCCCAGTATATTAAACAGAAAGAACTTACTATGATATGGTGAAATTTGAGGCATTTTTTGGATGTGAGATGATACGGCTGCATCAGGGCTATGCACCGCAGGCACCGGAGTGATTTACTGTGTTAGTGGATGACACAATAAATGATTATCATATCAGAACTCACTGATGAAAATAATGTAAGAAAATAAACAGTCTCTATGTAAAGGAACAATGCTGTGATCTTTAAACAATTGAAGGGTCTCGTCTTTACCCCTAAATTCACAAATTACGTCCATGTAAGATCGGTGACAACCTTCACATAACATGCTGAAAAACAAACTGCCCCGGGTGCAGTTCCGGGCTTCATTACCTCCCAGAAGACAAACTAATGCGCGCCTAATTATCTATGAAATGAACAATTTTCACAATAAATGATTATCATATCAGAACTCACTGATGAAAATATAGTAAGAAAATAAACAGTAATAAAAATAACTCACTCATGGGTTAGTCCTATATATTAACCCAAAACACTAACATGAAAGTGGAACTAGTGATGATGTGTTTGTTGGAGCATCAAAAGAGGGTTAAGTGTCTGTGATGACCAATGATATGTAGTGTACAGTCTCACACAGAAGTTCGTTAACTCTCCCAGCAAGCTATTGCTGCACTGCCTGCTTCAGATGTTTGAAACTGTCTCAGTACCAACCAGAACATGAAACTGATAAGAATGAATCTAAAGGTTCAAAGTAACAGACTCAAGTTCATACATCTGAAGCAGGCAGTGCAGCAATAACTGGCTGGGAGAGTTAACAAACTTTTGGGTGAGACTGTACAATACTCAATTCCCTGCATAATGTCCAAGGTTTTGACTCATTGGGCATACAGTGCCACTTTATAATAATGGGTTCTAGATCAATTTTACATGTTCAATTTCTTTACATTTTAGAGCAAAATAATTCTAAACATATATCACAAATATTTCAATTGTTGTTTTCGAACAATGATCTGTTTAATGCTTATCATTGCTTCTGAGTAAAAATAAATTTTGCCATTTTATATAACTGCGTAATTTCAGTGGTTTAATTTTATTTTAAGGCATATACTATATTGTTTCTGCAGAATTTACAACCATATTACATGCCAAAGATTATTTTGCAAAAGAAAAACAAAACAGATTTAACTCTTTTATTTATACCAATTCTTGGGAAAAATTGATAAGAGAATGTGCTTGGTCCCGACCTATTCTATAATAATTGATAATTTACTGTACACACACACACTCGTATTTATATTGCCTTTAGTCAGAAATCAAGTTGATCAGGGAAGAACAGAACAAATGTGTTTTGTGATATTTCTCAGTGGTACTCACCTAGCAAGTGAGTGGCCCTGGGTTAAGTGAAACTGCAAGCAAACTTCTTTAGTCAAATTGCTTCTGTTTGCCAAGCAGTCATTGGGAACCTGGATATTAATCAACTGAAGGATCGTGCTCTCAGGTAAGTGTTAGCCAGTGCAGTGACAAGTTGTCTGGTTCCCTTGGTCCCCCTGGATCATATAGTTGGTTGTTGTGTTAGCTGCAGCTTCTACATTTTGAAGAAATTCATACCTAAGTTTGCCTTGGGGCTGACTATCCATGAACATCAAGGGCAACCATTCACATATATCAGCAAGTGACTGAATGCCCAAGATGTCAGATGGTCATGGAATCGTAGTGGACATAGCTGGACGAGTGTTTGTACTAACATGCTCTAATTCAACCTCCTGCCTCTAAAGGGCAACTTTTGCATCTAATCTTTATCATTTTAGGACAATGAATATGAGGGGGAGAGATGGGTTATCATAAGATCAACTTCCAGGCTAAGGCATGATGGACTGCACCCCAAATTTAATGCATGCACAGTAATATGGGCTACTCAATGGAGGGCATCAGCTAGTTCAAAAAATTTCATGTATTAGTTTATACAGGTATCTGTACAACCATATCTGCCAGTTTGTATAACAATAGTAAGAATGAGGTAATTAAAGATCATTTCAACATTAGAAGTGGAAAAGTAGAGGATAGAGTTCTGAGATAGCCGGCAACTTTCACCACATACACTACTGTATTTCTTTATATACTATACTGGACTGTACTGTACATTCCTCCTTATCTGAGGCTATTAGGGGCCAGGGTCACATGTATACTGTAGTACTACAGTACTAGGAAATGTGAGGAATAAATAAAAATTATACTAATAAATAAAATAAAGGAAAAAATATCACCTTGCCTGTTGGCAACAGTTTCACTACACATAGGAGACTGGAGCGGCTGACATTGCCAACGCTGCTCCCTCTTCCTCCCACGATCTGTGTGCTAACTAGTGTGCATAAGATATGTTTATTCCCTTTATGTTTTTGACCTTATGATAATAATTTCTCTTATTAATTTTTTTTTGCAAAGTCTGTATGAACTATTGTGTGCCTGTAAATTGGTTTACTTCACTAATAAACAGTGTTAACCTTTTCAGTCATACATCCTAGACATATGAGATATGTTTTGATTTCACCTGCCCCATTTCAAATATCTTGGAGCGGCCATGAACTATAAAGTGATACCAAATTTCACTAGCAGATAATAATTCACCTTCCAAAATTTAACAGCAGCTCAGTTACCCTACAAATACGTACAATGATGGAAGGACATCTATCAAAACACGCATCTGGCAGCCAGGAGAGTGATGCCTATGCATGTGGTAGATACAAACATATATCTAAATGTTATTAAGCAGCAACATGTGAAGAAAATGATGCAACTGTGATGGAAAGTACAGATATAGAGGAATATGATGATGATGAAGCTTAACCAAGTTTAGCATGAGTCTAAACACAATCTGTCAGCGGAGAGAGATGTCAGGAAGATATTGTAGCCGAAACTATCACAACACAAACGAACTATTAAGGGACTGCAGTGACTAACCAAGACTTCTTTTTTCTTCATTGATGTTTTAAGGGTCTTAACATTATGTTCAATTAATTCATACAGCCAATTTTTTCTCCAAAAAACTTTAGGCTGGAGGAAGCAAGAATAGACTAAGTTTAGGACTGAAAAGATTAATGCCTAATTTGGGTGTTCGTCCACCAGAAAAAAAATAAAAAAAAATAAAAAAAAATAAATAAATATTAAAAAATTAAAAGAAATGTGCACCCTGAAACCTGTTCATTTTCTCTTAAAAATATCACCAAAGTATGTAATTTAAGTACTGTATTGAAAAAAAAAATAAAAATAAAAGGTCTAATCCTAAATGCCCCAGCATCACACTCCCATTTTCTATTAGATATATTATAAGAATTATAATACAACCTATTGTACAAGTTTTCAGATTTTTTTTTTTCAAATAACAAAAACAAACGACATTGCAACACTCAAGTAGGTGGTGCATGGTGGTTGAGAGAAGGGCCCAGCAGATAGCAGTGTTCACTTGACCCCAACTCCTCAGGCAGTGAGGTGCAACTCAACCTACCACACCATGCTCACTCCTGCTGTTTTTACAGAAGCAGACATGCCTAAGGCTTGAAAGTAGATTTTGTGTAGGCATCAGCTTTTGGCAGCCACTGTAGAACTCAAGAAACAGCACAGAAACTGGCAGACAAGTGATGATGCTGGCAGTATTTCACCCTTACCACCTGGCACACCTGCTCCTACACCTTCAACAACACCTACTGTTACTGTTATGGAGACAATAACACACAGCAAATACATACGTCAACAACTGTTTGCTGGCAAGTTTCCACCGCCACATGTGGAAGATGATGACATAATTATTGTCATGAAGTCCGAGATGCAGAACCTCCTGTTTCACCAACAGTGCAAGTACTGTGGTGCTGATGTACAGCTGTTGACCAAGGCTTGCACCTTTGTCACCACCTTGACTGCTGTCTGTCCTGAATGTAAAATGACATGGAGCATGGGACCAAGTGCCAGTACGTAGCAATTATTTTTTAATATAAATTAAATCCTAAAATCCCATAAGACTTATGTTTACTTCTAAAGATTACCGTTAATTTACAACAAACTGAGGTATAATGACAGGTATCACACTATAACCATGCGTCTGTAAAAATTTGCCTGTAACTCAAAACTAAAGTTACTGTTATTTGAATTTCAACTACAAGTATAATAATTTTCATTCAAATTTAAAAAAAATAATAAATGAGTGTACTGTATGTGGTAATGACGGGAACATTCTGGTGAAGGATATTTTTGATATTTCAATTAGATATGGAACAGCAAATTTTGTTTCTTTTTTATGCAAAAAGTATACTGTACGTATTACAAATAATCTATTATAATTCTACACTACTCCTTTGTTTTTTCATTAATGTGCTCCAAACACGGTCCTTGTAATAAGGATACGTATAACTACAATTTGGTCGAGTGAATTTTAATATTTCTTGTTTGGTTAGAGAAAAAATTTAATTATGGGAACACAGTAAAACAAAAAATATATACAGTATATTTTTTCTCAAAAACTATTTGGTAGTTTTCATTCATACTTAATGAATCTTTGATTTATAAGATCCCAAACAACATACAGGGTATTTAAAAATCAGACACATCCATAAAAATTGAGTTGCACTGACAAGAGTAAATAGTGGACGAACCCTTTAACCGGTGGTCGAGTTTATGTACTTTACATAGGATGACACTTTGTGTCGTATGTTTAAGTAGCATATGTAGTTGCTCACTTGGCTATATCAGCAGTTTTACACAAAGAATATAATAAAAAAAAAAACAAAAAAAACAGAAAAGACTCAGTGTACGCATCTGAACTTAAATAACTTCCAGTTTAAGATAAAACAGAATGTTAGAAGCTCCACAGTGTTAAGGTCTCACCACTAATCCTTTGTTGCTTTTATGATCTACTCTACTCTCAATAGTTCTTCTTTACTGTGCTCATCTACTTTTACTTGTTGGTTGAAATTTATTTTTACTTGGCAACTTTTTCTCCAAATGTCAATTTGTAAATCCCCCAAAATTTTATTAATATTACAAGCACCAATAAAACAGGAGAAAATAGTTTTTTTTTAATATTGTCTTCTATGAAACTTATAAAAATGTGATGATAAAATCCAGAGAACACCCAGCGTTTATGAAAGGCTGGAAGTATTTTCTAAAAATGTTAACTTGGTTTTTATTACTACAATAGAAATACTATACTAATTTGATTTTGAAAAATGTTGAATATTTTTAAAGAGGATAGGAAACATGTTTATTTTTAATTACCCTTTTTTAATCTTTATGAATGTTCTTGCCAATACTTCACAAAATACAAATGGACAAGTGCCACAGTGGTGCATTATATAATCTGGAAAATTGAGAATAAAGCTATCACATTTACAAGAGAAAAATAGGTAAGTGCATCATAATTTAAGTGAGCACTCCAATGCCCATGTATCCTGAGGTGGCATGTTCTGAGGCCTGTAATGAGTTATCCAATTCATAACTTATAACCAAGTAACCATCTTGATGATTATCTTGGTGAGTATCTGTCTGCCACCACAGATCAATCCTGGATCCTGAGACTATTCAGACAAGGAAACCTATCACTTCACTCACACTGTATATAGTGTACCAATATTTTTCCAGGTAAAATGGCTTACAAACATCCTTTAAATTATATCTAAAAAGAACAATGGCCAGCAAGTAACCCTTCCATAACATTAAAAAAGATACTTATGCATTGGGAGGCGAGAATATTGTACCTTACACTGAAATACATGAGGTCATACAGTGGTCATATCATAACCCACTTCAGTATTCTATGCTACAGTTCCCACATCCCACTACTGTACAGCATTAGCTTACACAGTAGCGAGCTTCCCTGACCAAAAAATTATTCTTATAAAGATAAATGAAAAGGATGATGTGATTACAAAAAAATTCTAAGTTTTCCTCTATTTATAAACCATACCAGTACATTAGATTACTTAAAAAAAAAACCTTTAGTTTACTGACTTTTTGGGGAAATCTCTTTATTTTGGTGATAAAATCCTAACACAATTGTTAATTACAACCATTTAAATGCACAGTATACAGTATATACTGTACTGTTTTTCACTGTAATGCCCTCACTTTTAAAATAATGAAATGTTCAACTCTTCTAAATAACAAAAAATATAAGCCAAAATTTTTTTTAAACCAACGACTACATTCATTAATACTATAATTCCTCAAGTATAATCATTACCACAATTCACTGGTTATCTAGAGGATGAGGAGAGGGCTTATGTCCAGGAGTCTGCTTCTGTATGACACAATTATTTGTACTAGACATCTCTTCCATGGGGGTTGACTGTTGCTCATTAATCTCACCTTCTTTAGTGTCTTCTTTCTCATCTGCTGGCTCTGAGTCAGTTGGTGAGCCATCACACAACTGTGGCAATTTCTCACAGTCTGTCATCTTCAAGCAATGTGTTGGAGCTATTCTCATAGCCTGTTGGAGAAGGTGTAAGAGGAAACATTAACAAACCAAATGTCAGCTATGGAGTCTTGATAATATCATAATAACAATGCTTTTCTTCTACTCTCCAAAACCATTTCCTCCTATTTTGTTTTCCTTAATCACCCCCAAGCAAAAGTGGAAGAGGAAGAAAGATAATATATATATATATATATATATATATATATATATATATACCTAAACCCCGACTTACGACTATACGACTTACGTCCAATGACCGTACTTACGACTGCGACCGCCGTGACCAAAAATTTTTTCAAATGACGCGCGCATTTTCTATACCGAAACGTTTCCGTCCCGGGCGAGAGGGAGGGGTGGCTTGGGTCGCCTCGTGGCTGCACTCACTCAGTGGAGCGCTTTGTTTGTAATTGGCTATCGTATCCTATACTGATCGCGCTGTGAACTTTCGTTATTATTGTATTTAATTGACTTTATAATGACTGGAAAGCGTAAAAGTGAGAGTGCTGGTGGTACTCCAAGGAAAAGGAGACAGGCAATTACTTTTGAGATGAAACTGAAGATAATAACACAGTATGAGAATGGAAAAACAGTAGCAACAATCTCACGCGACCTAGGTTTCTCACACTCGACTATATCCACTATTCTGAAGGACAAGGAACGTATTCGTGAAGTAGTGAAAGGAACAACACCTATAAAGGGAACTATAATAACAAAGAAAAGACAAGGTCCTATCCACGATATGGAAAAATTATTGGTGATATGGATAGAAGACCAGATACAGAAGCGTGTACCCTTAAGTGTTCTAACCATACAGGCTAAAGCAAGAAGCCTGTTCCAAAGCCTGAAGGAGCAGGCAGGAGATGAATGTGATCAAACCTTTACAGGAAGTCAAGGGTGGTTTGATAGATTTAAAAAACGCTACAGTCTACACAGTGTTAAGGTGAGTGGAGAGGCAGCTAGTGCCGATGTTGGTGCTGCCGAAGCTTTTAAGGAGGAGTTAGATGATGTGATTGTGGAAGGGAATTATTTGCCAGAGCAAATATTCAATGTGGATGAGACTGGATTATTGTGGAAACGCATGCCTGACCGGACATACATCCACAAAGAGGCAAAAAAAATGCCCGGATTCAAGGCATTCAAGGACAGAATTACACTTCTGTTGGGGGGGAATGTTGCTGGTTTCAAGCTAAAGCCCTTCATGATCTATCATTCAGAGAACCCCAGGGCTTTTAAACATGTCAGCAAGCACACACTGCCAGTGTTTTATCGCAGTAACAAGAAAGCCTGGATGACCCTAGTACTATTTGAGGATTGGTTCATGACTTGTTTCATTCCACGAGCCAAGGAGTATTGTCTGCAACAAAGGATTCCATTCAAGATTTTACTGATTTTGGATAATGCTCCGGGACACCCACCACACCTGGACGACATGCACCCTGATGTTAAGGTAGTGTACATGCCACCTAACACTACCTCTATCATCCAACCCATGGATCAAGGTGCTATTTCTGCCTTTAAAGCGTATTATTTACGCACGACCTTCGCTCAGGCTGTTGCTGCTACTGAAGGTGAGAAAACGCTCAGACAGTTTTGGAAGGAGTACAACATTTTGTCATGTATAAAGAACATTAGTGCAGCATGGGATCAGGTTACAAAACATTGCATGAATGGAATATGGAAGAAAATCCTGAAAAGATATGTGAACAGTTTCAAAGGATTTAATGAAAATGAAGTTATTTTGGATATTAGTAACAAGATAGTGGACTTAGGTAAACAGCTGGAGTTAGAAATTGATACTGAAGATGTTGGACAGTTGGTTGAAAGTGTAGCAGAAGAGCTCAGTAACGAGGATCTTATTGAACTAGATGCACAGAAAGTTGCAGAGGAAGAAGAGAGACAAAATGTAGAAGAAGAGCCTGCACCCCCCAAAAAGTTTTCAGTGAAACATATGGCAGAGGCATTTGCTACAATTAATAAAGCAATGCAAATGTTTGATGACATGGATCAAAATTATGAGCGTTATGCCAAAGTTGACAGAATGATCCAAGATTCACTTGCTTGCTACAGAGAAATTTATAATGAAAAGAAAAAAAAAACTGTGCAGTCTAAATTGGACACCTATTTCAAGAAGTCCCCCAGTACTGGCTCCTCACGCCCCACCAGTGCTGCCTCTTCACTCCCTCAAGATGATCCAATACCTTCAACCAGCAAGTTACCACAGTACATAAACCTGTCTGAAGGAAGCGACATTGATGACCCACCCAGCCCTGTCTCCTCTTCTGCTTCTTCCAATTAATATAGTCTCCATGTATCCTGTAAATAGAAAATTATGGGGGCCCTGTGTGCATTCAGCTGACTACATTTAAGGTAAGTGCTCAGTCACACTGTATCCATTCCTCATTATTTATTACTTTTACTGTACTGTATCCATTCCTCATTATTTTTTACGTTTAGTGTACTGTATTTCATTGTAGATTTTTAAAAAAAATTTGAAAAAAAAAAATTTTTGAATTTTTTTTTTTTTGAAAAATTTTATTTTAATTTTTTTATTTTTTATCTATATCGGACTTACGACCACATCGGACTTACGACCTGGATTTGGGTCCCTAACCCCGTCGTAAGTCGGGGTTTAGGTGTGTGTATATATATATATATATATATATATATATATATATATATATATATATATATATATATATATATATATATATATATATATATATATATATATATATATTTTACCTTATTTATTATTAAAATATATACTGTATTGTCTTTAATGGGGATACTGTACAGTGGTTTAATCAGATTTGATATAGGCCTAACAAGAGCAGTTGCAGCATTTATTCATTATTATATTCTCGTATGATCAGCTTATTATGGCGTATGTTTTATCATAAATATTATAATATAAGTATTAAATAATAGAAAAATACAATATATATAATTCATAATTGGACTTCAAAATAAAAGGACAAGCCGAATCAGAAGGTACAGTAATCTCTTCCCTGACCACTGATCCCCCTCCCGCCGTAAAAGAGGGGGTGGGGGGACGTTGCCATGTTAGCGCTTGTTTTTATTTATTCAATATTATATCCTCGAATGATGAGCCTCTTATGGCGTATGTTTCATCATTAATAAAATACAATATTACATAATAGACAAAATAAGATATATAATTTGTGATTTGACTTCAAAATAATGGAGACTGAGATGGACTGCGGCAGGTGTTTTTGTGTGTTTGACATATAGATGATGCAATATCTGTACGCACTCATCTTCATCTCTCTTCCTGGGAGGATTGCCATCATCAGTGTTTGAATTATTTTTCCAAAAAATTTACCATTTTTCTGTGGCTAAATGTGTGTTGAACTCAAAGCTAAAAAATCATAGTGCAGCATTATAGGTGAGCCCATTTTAAGAGTGGGAGAATAAACTGCTCTGGGTCCAAGAGGAGGAGAGAGCCCTCAAGGGAATGCTTGCTCGCTGGCGGCAATTTCAAAGGACCGTGCGAGGTGGTCAAATATTTCTTGCCCAGAGAGGTTCTGGACTTTCAAGGATTTACTGTAATTTATATGTGACCTTCATTCCATTCCCTACAAAATAGAGTAGAAAAGATGCACTAACCAAACCTAACCTATACAAACTTAATTTACCCTCATCATATTTCAACCTAACCTCAACTTCACCCTATTTTACATACCCTAATCTAACCTAATCTTCAGGTAACTTAACCTTAAAATCAAATTAACCATAATCTAACCTCAACCTTAGACAAACCTATGTTTAACTTAACCTAGCATAACCTAATCTTCACCTGCAACATAAACTACTACACTTGGCTCCACCTATAGGGGACAAGGCCGTCAGGATCATGCATCTGCCATGAGTTGGATGGCAGTTTCCTGGAAACGGGTTCTGGCTGAGGGGAAGTGGCAAGGAAGGTGTGTAATGTCTCGACTTGTAAGCTTTTCTACCTTGAGTTATGACTCCCTTTCAGTGCCCTCATTATGCCAAGAAAGTAAAACAAATCCAGGTCTTAACCCGGTAAAAACAGCGGGATAATACAAATGTCACTTTTAGTATATGTAAGGCTACAAACTGTATACAGTACTATAAATGCTAATGACATCAAAATTCGTTAGAAATTATCCTATAAAGATCTTAACTAATTCCATAACTGATAAAATATTCAGCAAATAGTGTTTCAATTGGAGTAATAAAATTATCCGCTATAACAGCATGAGGTTGACCCATGCCATTAACCCTTAGGTCCCGGGTGACGTTCCAGAACGTCCGACCAGCGCGCCCCGGGTGATGTTCCAGAACGTCCGCCTATTCCCACCACTGTTTAAATGCCCAGCACGGGTTATCAGGTTCCAGTGTGACTAATTGTCTGCCACACCACATGCTCGGCCACAAGGAAGCTTCCTGAACATAATTACCTACTTTTGTTTGTTTCATTTTCATTGTTTGTCTATTTTATCATGTTGTATCAAAGTAATATTGCTAAAAGTAGTGTACAGTATTACCCCGCCTAACGCGGTTTCACTTAACACGTTTTATCATATACGCGGTGCCTCGCCAGAGCTGAACTTTCACTTAACAAGGATTTTTTCCACATATACGCGGTGAGTGTCCGGCTCGAGACGCTATTTTTAGATTTGCCCCACCCGCCACCCTGCCTGACTGCCTGTTTTAGCTCATAAAATTCATACAAATTACCCGGCCAGAATATAATTTACATTGCTGGAATTCTTATAATTTGGTGATCATTTTGAATATAAACATCATATATTTTGCATTAGACATACAAATTTTAGATAAAATTTTTTCTCTGGAGTAACTATGTTATCTTTTGTGCAAAATATATGACATTTATATTCAAAATATTCCTGGTCTTACAAGGAATCCAGCAATGTCAATTATATTATCCTAACTTTAGTTTGAGGTATTATTTATTACAAAAAAGTTAAGTATTCTGGTTTTCCCACACATCTCCTTGGGACGGTTGGTGGGGGGTGGGGGGGGAGGGAGGGAGGGACCGACTGACCATCTGTTACCCTGTGAAGAATATTTTTTTTTATTATTAACTGAAGATGTTTGTTTTAGCTCATAAAATTCATACAAATTACCCGGTCAGAATATAATTTACATTGCTGGAATTCTTATAATTTGATGATCATTTTGAATATAAACATCATATATTTTGCATTAGACATACAAATTTTAGATAAAATGTTTTCTGAGTAAATATGTTACCTTTTGTGCAAAATATATGACATTTATATTCAAAATATTCCTGGTCTTACAAGGAATCCAGCAATGTCAATTATATTATCCTAACTTTAATCTGAGGTATTATTTAATACAAAATGTTAAAATTTATTTTTTTCACCCCACATCTCTTGAAGGGAGGATTGGTGGGGGGTGGGGGGGAGGGTTGGGACTGACCGCGCGGTTGGAAGAGGGGGAGGCAAGGTGGGGTACTTTGATTGACAGATAGTGTCGTGAAGATTATTTTTTTTTTTATTAACTGAAGATATTTGTTTTAGCTCATAAAATTCATACAAATTACCCGGTCAGAATATAATTTACATTGCTGGAATTCTTATAATTTGGTGATCATTTTGAATATAAACATCATATATTTTGCATTAGACATACAAATTTTAGATAAAATTTTTTCTCTGGGTAACTATGTTATCTTTTGTGCAAAATATATGACATTTATATTCAAAATATTCCTGGTCTTACAAGGAATCCAGCAATGTCAATTGTATTATCCTAACTTTAGTTTGAGGTATTATTTATTAAAATTTAGTGGTTTTCCCCCAAAAATTTCTCAGAGAGGGAAGAGCCGGCAGTGTAGTGTGAGAGAGGGGGAGGGAGTTGAGTCCATTATTTGAATGGACATTAACTTGGCGACTGTATTTCTCTATTTCTCTTAAGTATTAATTGTGTGCATGTACCATCATAAAATTAAGATGTTATTTTTACTACAACATAGTTATGTGTCTTCAAAAAGTGGAGTTTGGGGGTCGGGCCGGTTTCTATTGGAATTAATCCCATATGTTCTGTTGTTCACTTAACGCGGATTTCACTTAACACGGGACCCTCTGGGTTCTATTGACCGCGTTAAGTGGGGTACAACTGTAGTTGTATTGTAGTGTAGTATTACTGGAAAATAATGCTATGATTATGTTACAAATGTATTTATTTGTGGAATTATTATTATTTTATGCATTACTTGCTCTACCAAACACAAAGACAGACAGGCAGACTGGCGACCAACTGGTGAGTGTTGCCAAGCGCTTTTTTACGAAAAATATTGCAAATAAAATATTCTAAATGAATTGTTTTTAGCAAATAATTATTAAGATCAGTAAATATTTGTAATATTGGCCACCTCGGGCACAAAGGCGAGCTAAAAATAGCTGCAAAGTGAGTAAGGACCACGAGCGTCAGCTGTCAAACCAACACTCTCCTTATCTCCCCCCTCCTCCGTCCCTCCATGCAGCCAGGGAAGTTTCTAGAGGGTCAATATATAGTTTTTCTTACTTATTTTTTATTGTTTTATCATTTGAAAAGGTTAAAAATTATTTTTGGAAAAGTTGATTTTTCTCCATTTACCCCCGGGTGTGGGGTACTGCCAGCTGCACACTAACCCGGGGCTTAAGGGTTAAATGGAAGTGCTTGAAAGGACACAGAAGGGCAAAAGGAGTATAAACCACAGGTACCAAATTTAGATTACTATTACTTTTAACATTCAATATTAAAAAAGGTGACTGATTATCTTAAGATACTCACTTCAAAGGTCAAGCCTTAGAGAAAAAGTTAAAATACCTCTTATACTCATGCTGATGACTTTAGAATATTATCCTCACCTCCCCAGCAGACACAGTTCTTTGTCGATTAGCACAGGTAGCACCGTATGGAAGATTGTCTGTATTGAGTGATCGAGACCCTTGTTGCAGCTGCTCTGATTTTTGGCTTTCCTGGCGTGCTCCCTCACCTCGATCCGATCTCCTGGTTGGGCCATGTGGATTACCATACATCACTGATAATTCTGGGCCACCTGCGTATGTTTCATGGAAAAAGTCCCACATTTCCTCAGATATTTGGGCATAGTCAGAACCTGGCTTGAGCATGGGTTGGCCAGTTTTATTTGTACAAATGGAAGAATTGTCAATGGGGCCTGGTGGTTCTTGCTCACGTCCCCGCACAAAGCTTTCCCATGTACGAAACCATCTCATGGAGATGGCTACGATGTTGGGATGCTCCTCTTCCTGGAACATCTTTTTCAACTTGAAGAACATCTCAAGCTCACTATTCTGACGGTGGGAGAGGGCATCGAGTTCTGCCCTACAGGTAACACACTCATATAAGCGTGTACAAGCAGGGCCACCACCAAACACTTGATGCAAGTATTCCCACACTCCTTGATTAAGAAGCATTACCAGCTCTCCAACATAGCTTGCCTAGTTAAAGAAACAAGTCATAAATTAAAACAATCAGTAAGACATATGTTACTGTTATTGCTATCTTATTTTCATCATATGTGCACTCAGAATACAGATAGCACCAATCCCTTATCAAATCCTCACAAAAACCTAAATGAGCTTTCCTCCTATGTACACCATGTAAGATACTGGAAGGGCTAATCATCAGATTTATTCGACCTAACATCCCATTAGCTCCCTAACAACATGGTTTCTTTCCTCTTCATTCCACCACCACTCACTTCTCAACATTAGGTCAATACATTCTTGACAGTTTCAACTATAATAGATATCACCAAAGACTCTGACTCACTCCAACACCACATTCTAATCACAAAACATTAAAAATCACAAAAATAAAAAAAAATATAAAAAAACACCAGAAAAGAGTTTCGAACTTCCTTCCAGGACAAGAAGCAGCAAAAAATCTTCCAAATGGAGTTCTGCGAGGTTCCATTTCCTTTCCACCATTTTCAACCAGTTTTTCTACAACCTCCCTCCACTTCCACTCAACAAAATAAGTAATTCTACAGGGGCAGATCCAGGAATAAAAAAAAAAGGGGGGGAGGGGGGGTCCAAGAAGTTGTGGGTAGGGGGAACATGATGAGCATAGCGAGCCCATCCAGCAATTTTTTTAAATGTGACCAATATCATGGGCACATAAAAGATTTTTTTCCTAAATACTCCCTGCTGAAATGGGGGGCCATTCTCCCCCCCAGCCATATGCTTCTACACTCACTGTGTCATTCCCCCCTCCCTAAGCCAAGCACGTAAGATGCGACACGTCTGTACCGGCAAGGCTCTGTCAAGGGGTTTTCTGAGTTTTAGCATAGTAGACTTGGCCGGGTATTATAAGAGTTGCCTCAGACAGGTGTTAGGTCATAAATGTATCTTTTAGGGCCAACTACTTCAGATTCAAATAGTAATCACTCTTAAATCTATTTCAAATTCCATACTAAACGATTATTCATAATTCATACTTTTTGTGGTTGTACTCCTCCGTGTGGACACAGAAAGTCGTAGTTATCGATGGGACCCGGCTCAGAAAAAGTGTTGAATTTATTTACCCACTGTTTGGATATATAGAATTGCATCAGAGAAGGCTCCCTTGATGACACCTGTTGAGAGAGACAGTAAATATTTTAAAGAAACAAATAAAGTCTTGCTGATCCAACTACTACATAGCTTCAGTTTTAAGAGAAAACTGGTTAATAAACTACAAGAGACATTGTACAGTTGTTATGTACACAGAATAAAAAAAGGATATTTACAATTTTATGTTAGACAATATGACACAAAGGACGAAGGATTTTGACAAACCTACCGAGACAATAGGAATTGCATTGTTCATTGTGAAATTCATTGATTGTGTATACACATAGAATGACCTGAGGATGAATTATATTGGAGAGCAAAAAACCATACAGTACATGTGATATACTGTATGTACAACATGTACAGTTGTTTACAGTTCCACCGTTTACAGTTGGTTGGCACATTTTGTGAGATGTGGCACAATATGTTTGTTTACATTACAGTACTATAGTAAAACTCCCAGAATGGCCCTAAGGAACATTTCACATGATGATACATGTACTGAATGGTTTAAACTGAAGGAAAATCTTTGTGATGCAGGTACTCAGGTGATAATGCCCTGATGAGAGAAGTGCTGTATCACACAGGAGGTTAAGTGAAGTAATTGGATATGTTTGAACTTCTTGACTTTATAAATCCAACTTCCATGAAAAATATCAGCATACAATTTGAACTATCATTGTATATTATGCTCAGTAGAATCTTGTCCAATTAGCAGAAAACACTGGTTATCTGCAAACCAGCAACCATTGTTTCAACTAAAACTAAGACTTTGGTGTATTATCAAATAATCTAATTTTGATTATCGCAACATTTAGCTGGGAATAAAGAGTATTGTCGATAGACTGACATATCAAGAAAATATACCTGCATGAGTTCAACAGTCCTCTGGCGTCTTGATGTCATCTCTGTGCTTGTCTTTTTGTAGAATAAAACATATGCCTCACATTTGGCCACAGTCTCTGGAGAGACTTCAGTAACATACTGGTCATCGAATTCATACCAGCGGTGATTGCTCCAGTTCTGACAGTAGGCAGTGTAATGACCACCTCCTGCTGTGCCATGGTGACATATGATGGCATATAAATCGTATGTCACCACCTCAGATGCGCAATCTAAAAAAATATATGACATGAAGATGTAAGAATAACTAAAGAAAATAAAAACTCAGTGCAAATTTCATTTCCAACCCTACCTAAAGGTACTACCCTAAATTCTTTTTCTTACCATGCCAAAAAAAATTTGCCTTGCATTAAATTCCATTAACTTACTGTTGTGTGTTTAAAATTTACTTACCTTTATGAAGGAACTGTGTGAGATCCAAGCCATGAAGTGGGAATGACACATATTGGCTGATTTTTGAACTGAACATTGTTTCATGTCGGAACCTCTTTAGGTGAATAATGAGCACCTCAGGAAGTTGCAGAACTTTTGAATATTTTACCCCATTTCGTAGTTTGCCACACTTTTCACAAGAATACATATTATCTCCTTTAAGTTCATCTGCACTGAAGAAGGCTGCAAGACAATGATGGAGGGAGACTGCTGGGCCCCAAAGCCATGACCGTAACCAAACCCAGATCCACCACATCCATCTGAAGGTGGCAATGTACACATAAAGACAGTAGCTACTCTACAAAGATAAACCACATTTACAGCAAACTCCATTTATACCAATTCTTACAGTTTTGAAAAGTGACAACCCTGAGGTGTGAAGGTCGATTATAAGCACAAAATACAGTCCCTCCAAACCTGCCATACAATGGGACTGAACTTCTTTCTCATGATCTGTGAGTCCAATGTTATGAGCCATGGATAACTTCATATTTTTCATTTTTAAGTGAGAACACAATAACATATCAAATACAAGAACGTGCTTATTAAGACATTTTCCTAGTGGAGGGTGGGAGTAAATCACTTACGGGCCCCCTTTGAAGATGTAGGTACAGTACAGTAGAATCCCAGTTATCAAGCTCCTACAGGGATTATGAGGTGCCGGATAAAGAGTTTTTCCGGTTAGTTGAAACTCACTCTTAGGATCCCCCCCCCCAAATCCTACAGTGCACAGTACTACAGGCTGACCTCGCAAATTCGTGTCTCAGAAAAACAGACTTCTTTAACACTTACTCCACTATGTGGCTAAGAAATAAAAATACTGTATAATGTAAAACTATAAAATAAGACAAATGAGGAGCATGGATGTGTATGTGTGGGAAGTGAACATGTATAGAGGCGGTGGGCTACAACTACATTGCCAATTTGCCAGCCTAGCTGCAGCATTTATTGTTACTTGTAATGAAACTATAAAAGTTGTCAAAAAAATCATTACAATACTCTAATGTGGCTTAGAAAAAAGAAAATACAGAATAATATAAAACAATAAAATAAGAAAAATGAAGAGCATTATGTGTATGTGTGAGAAGTAAATGTGTGTTAAGGCGATTATAGCCAAGGCCTTGGCTATAACTACGTTGCCGACTCGCCAGCCCAGCCGGCACACCCAGAGAAACATTAAGCGCGAATTTTAAAATATGATGCGCCAGATTGACTCACGCAAAATAGGAACGATTCGTTTTAAATTAAAACATTGTGCTTAATTGTGGGTGTCACTTTAAATCAATGATCTTAAATTGAATCTCTTTAAATCGACGTTCTACTGTATTATATTTTCTTTATTTCTAAGCCACATTAGAGTATTTTAATGATTTTTCTACAACTTTTGTTGTTTCATTACAAGTAACAATACTGTATAACTGTCCTAAGGGCAAAGCTGTACTGTACATGTACTCAAAATAATGTCTAGTGCAAACTCTAGCATGATTATATTCAAATTAATCACTGTCTTATAAGAATTCTAGCAATGTAAATTATATCCTCCCCGGTCACTTCTGTGACATTTTATAAACAAAATACAATAACTCAATCTAAAGGACATAAATAAACAAATAAATACTTCACTAGACCTTCGGCACCAACTGTCAAACGTGTCCCCCCCCACCCACCCCTATCTTCCCAGCCAGGGTTGGGTGGTTATAGGCTTACAGCTTTTATCTTATATAATATCACAAACTAAAGTTAGAATATAATTTGCATTGCTAGAATCCTTGCAAGACAGTGAATTATTTGAATATAAAAGTCATATATTTTACACAAGAGATAAAAATCTTTAGCCCTTTATAAAAAAATTAATTAGAACATGTCAGTTCAGTGACATTTTTTAAGAGAAAAACTTAAAGGCACTCTTAAGGACAGAGAAATAAATAAGCACTAGCCCTTGGCATCAACCGTCAAACATATCACCTCAACTCTCTCACCCCCCCCCCCATCTTCACATCAGCAGATCGCTAGTAAACAGACCATTTCACATCCCATAATTTTAGCTGTGCTGATTTATGATTGTTTGTTTTAACATAATACTACAAAAAACAATGTTTTGTTTATTCTAGGGGACGGGCTGAGGTGCATCTGGGTAGACTCTTACGCCCGTATTATTAAACAACATCTTCCCTTGAAGAGGGTCGTCGTGTTTCAACCCAAGTTTTAAACTAAATGACTCCTGAGGGACACCGCAGTACAGTACTTAACGAGGTGGTGTGGCGGTTAAATTAACTAATTCCAATATTATAAATTAATTTTATTGGAATTAGTTAATTTTACCGCCACACCACCTCGTTAAGTACTGTACTGTGGTGTCCTTCGGGACTCATTTAGTTTAAAACTTGGGTTGAAACACGACGACCCTCTTCAAGGGAAGATGTTGTTTAATAATACGGGCGTTAGTCTTTTTAGTATTTTGTTTCTCTCAAGTACCAGACTAAATTATTCCATTGAAACACTTAGATTTAGTGTGAATTCGGTTTAAAGCGACCTCTCTTGGAACGTATCTCGTGTTATATCGACGTTCTACTGCATAAAACTATAAAATGAGAAAGTGAAGAGCATCAGTGTGTATATGTGGGAAGTGAATGTGTGATGAGGCAGTGTGTTACTGGGCTATAACTGCATGACTGTGCTTCCTCCTGATGTGACGTCACAGCATACAAACATTCAGCGTGGCAGTCACACATCTGAGTCAGTTGGTTGACTGCCTGAACTGTGTTGCATCGCCCAGAGGATGGTTTACGGGTAAATGTGGAAGGAGCAATTTTTTGCACATAAAATAAGTTCTATTGTATTTTATGATATGCTATGTATTGATTTTACTGTTGATCATAGCAAAAATTTGTCCTGTCTCTTTAATACTATCTGCTATCAGCACTAGGTCATCAGCATACAACAAATTGCACAGCAGGTCATTCCTAAAGTTCTATGATATTGTCACCAACACCATGATAAACAGGTGTTGCTTATGTATATTACCTTTTATGCCTGCAGATGTTTAAGTTGTGTTGCAATGTGTTATTTTATTATGTGTCAGATTTTTTTTAAGGAACATATCTCCCAATTAATACTGATAATCAATATATAAATACAATTCACTTTGCAATAAAATTTTCAGAAATGCAACCCTATCAAAAATTTAGGTATTATAGGGGTACCTGTAATTTTATTTAATGCCTTAGCCCTTTCCTGTCACTTTCTATAATAGTTCTCCACTATTTTACCCTATCATCACCTCTCCCAGATTCAAGGTTTCTGTATTCCTTAATACACTCCAAACAAGAGTAGGAGAGGAACAATTACATTAGAAAATATAGATATAAAGTAAGGTAGTTTACTAACCCATCTGTTGCTGTATCACAAGATGCTTTGGCAAGGTGTAGACTGCTGCTATTGGTTGCTCCTACTTGCTGCAGCTGTGTGACAGATGAGTGCTGCAGGATACTCAGTTGGTCACTGCTGGGGATAGGTAGACTTAAGTCTTGGAATGTTTCCTTTCTGGAGGATATTGTATTGCAGGTTAGGCACTGCACAGAGCTGACAATGGTTCCATCGAAGATGTCAGAGATGACGCTGCGGTGTGAGGGGGGCTTTCTTCTCCGATTGGGGTTAGTGGCAGTGTTTGAGGAAACCTTGCCTGGGGAAAATGATGTTGAAGCTGTCAATAGAAAACCTAATAAGTTAATATATTTTTTCAACAATACTACCGACAGGTAGCCATTTTGGAGATGTCCATTCAGTGGTTTATACGGCCAATCCCACCAGTCTGCTGATTTTCTATCCACAATACACAAATCAGTGAACACTTGAAATATAGCACAGAATTTGTAAAAACCATACACGCTCACACCTTTTGGAGTTAAAAAATAAAATAAAATCATAAAATACCAGGAAATTATAACATCAATGAACAGAAAGGTATTCCAACTTTAATTATATGTTTCACGTTACAAAACCTTACTTATAAATTTCATTAAATACAGAATAAACTATGAAAGCTCAGCTGAATGAAGTACAATAAACCCTTAATGTTCATGGTGTCTGGATTCGCAAATTTTGTTTATTTGTGATCTAGTAAATGTTTACCGTACCTATTAACTATTCATGGCCTCCGACCACTAATAATCAAAATTTTTCAAGGGGCTCAAATCCATGCATTTTTGAGGTAAACACCATCTTCCACAAAATTTTATTTATTCGCTTATATGAATTTCAGAAATTTACACCACTTTCTTGAGATCCAAAAGCTTCCCCCACTTATATGAATTTGGGTCTGGATAAAAATTAAAATCGCGCATTGTGAGTCAGGTGGCGCCTTTGTGGAGTTGAGCCCAGACTGCCCTCCCATAAGGTGATGTACCAAAGTTATACAGTATTTTCTTAATTTCCTTTCATGTGTTAAGTAGTACTATGATGTGCTAGGTAGTAAATGTGTAGATTGTGGGAGAGGCATAGAGAGAGCAGGTCGTGGATGGTGGGAGGTGAGGTTTCAGGCCATGCTGTGAGTTGCCTTATTGCTATTTTTCCACTCATATTTTTGGGTAGCAATAAAAAAACCGTGTTCGAGTGAAACCGTGTTGAGCACACCCATGTTAAGCGAGGGGGGCAGTGTATACTACTGTTTACACTGCGAGCAGGTCGGTAAAATTGTGTGGCAGGATAATGCTGCAACCTCAGTTTGCATCCATTAAAGCTGGTAAAATGGTTACAGAAAAGTGCACCTTATATCCCCCCTCCCCCCCATGTTTAATTATACCAGGATCCTAGCTCCCTTTTTCCAAATGAACTAAAGTTTCCACATTTGATGTTTCTGCATCACATGATTTTTTTCCCAAAGAATCTAACCTCCTGAAATATCAATGGTCTACTGTATTGCTTACAACCATAAAAAGTAAAACTCCTAACTCTTACATGGATTATTTTGGCTAATACGTATTTCTTTAACACTATAGTAATATGCATTACAGTACTGTAATTCCCATCACATTGATGATGGTGCAACTTTTCCAAGTATAATCAATCATCACTGGGTACGAAAAATAATGTGATGAGATGTAGAAATAAAGAGTCTTTTTAACAAAACCTGTTTCTTTTAGTTCCTGCTAACACAAAAACTCATTTAAGTGTCTTGGACACTAGACTTTTCCCTACCCAGAAGTTGGGACTGATCTTTTGATATCCCATCCTTCCCTACTGTAATTTTCTCTCTTAAAAAACTGGATTAGAAGCAGTTATGCTACAGAGGAAGACCTACAGATCTGCTGTCTATATATTCAATACAAACATCATGTCAGTTAAAGCCACCATCTTGATTTCAGAGTAAATCTACTCTTTTGAATTTAGTGCCCAATGTATAGCTCCCATAACACTACTTCAAATTTAAGATCATTTGCACTATCAGGGAGAGAGAAGGAAATACACACAGTAACTTTGGGTTATTTAACAATTTTACAGCCATCATCAAAGTTTTACTGCTTTTTTCCACACAAGCGTGGATTAACCGCTATTACCAGATAGAAGCTGTTGGGTAAACAAAAACAGAATCCCCCCCCCCCCTCTGCTCACCACCACAAACCCAGGGTGCCAGCCCAGAAGAGCAGTGAAGACCAGGGGATGGGCACAACTTTGATAACCCAGTTGCCATAAATGTTGAAATACAATAAAATTTTATGGCTAAGTGTCCTTCCTAATGGCAATCCAAAGGCAGGGTACAGCTGGCAATGCAGGGACACAACTCCCTGAGGTAATCAAAGACTACCCACTTACCTATTTTGAAGCTACCTAAATTACTACCATTTTCCTGTACATTGCAAGAAATGTTTCTATTTCGTGGGAAAAGCCAGGCTGGAGGAGTTTTAAATCAACCACCATGCCAATAAAACTACCATGCAGGCAAACTTCCCCAGCTGCACTCATGGAGTCACTGAGTCAGTGCTCACTCAAAGTCAACGACACGTTCTTACTCCTACAATTCCCTAGAGTTTACCACATGCACCACTTACCAAGATGTCTAAATGTTCAGCAGCTGCTTCTCCTGCCAGTTCAAGTGAGAAAAAGAAGAGAAAGAAGTTTATTTGAGAAGAGAAAGTTAAAATCTTAGATGAACTTGACTGTGATGTGCATCAACTGTGGCACGCTGAAATGGGGTACAGTATATAAAAGTGCGATTCGCAGCATAAAATTGAAGGCTGACAAGATTTGTGCAACATATGCACAGCCATTCATATCCAAGACCATCTAGCATTTAAGGCCACGACTGTACCAAGAAATGGAGGTTTAGATAACAAACACAACAATTTAATGCGGCACTGGAATGGAAGTTTAAGATCAGTTGCTAGAGAGAGACAGACAGCAAGAATGTTAGAGACAGCAAATTCCAAGCTAGCCAAGACTGACTTCACAGCTTCATTAAATTTGCAAAGCTATATTGTACTGCACAACTCTGACTGGGTAGGCTGCATCAGCTGACACAGATGTAGCAGAAATATTGAATATTTTAGGCCTCCAATCCCAAGCCCTTTATACAGTACATACAGTATACTGTGCTGTATACTATACACATTTTTATATTATGATTATTTACTTGTGAACTTTTCAGTCCGTCTCACAAAATAACCTGGGAGTACAGTATCTGTTTCAACTATTCTCATCTAAGAAAAAGCATCCCCTCCTGCAAAGTGGGCAATACAGGGAATGAATTGACAATCTCCCAATTCAATAACCAAAAGGATGGCATCACTTTATTACTCAACAATACAGTACAGTACATCTGTCCTGACAGTGAGAATCCCATATTAGAGCGGGAAGGTTAAGGCAAGAACCATTGAAATACTTCTGATAAGAAGTAGAAATGTGACAAAGAAAAATGCAAGAAAATGCAAGTGAATTTTCAAATTTTTTAAATACCCTGTATGTATATATCTTATTAATCTTTATTTCAATTTGTTTATTGAATTTACTTTTCATGCAAGCATGGAAAATGGTTGTAAAACGATGACGATAATAATTCAAAGCTAATAAGCTAAAATTTAAAAGCTGAATAAGACACATTTATTAGATTAAAAGTATAGTAGTATACAGTAGTTGGCCCTCAATTTGCATGTTTTTGTGTGAACAGTTTCATATATACATGGTCAAGTACCTGTGACCCTTTAATTTTTTTATATACAGTCTGGATTCACTTACACTTGGTTCATCACGGAGCAAACCATACACGACTCATGTGCACACGAGGTAAATCTCACCTCACAAAGCTCAGTGAGAGTGAAACGAATTAATTTAGATGTGATAATGGATGTATTAGGGATTTTTGAAAAGAGGGAACAAATTGTAGATATATTTATGACCCTCGGCTTCATGTTAAATATCAACTCTTAATGTTTTGATTTTTTGTCAAAAAAGGAAAAAAACTCCTGAAGCTTTGTTTGAAAAAATGCAAACGTCTAAAATCACTTCCAACTCAAAAAGCTTCGCTTGAAGTAAATCTCGACATTTAACATAATTTCTGACGTTTTCATATTTTGTTGCTTGATTTTTTCGTACAGAAATGTAACCCCAACTATTACCATTAGGCTTATGGTAAGTTTGGCTTCACCGTTAAGCCTTTTTGCTATTAGTTATGTATTTCAGGAACATAAACTTTGATGAACAATGACAACTGACAAACAAGAGTGAGAAACGATATACTGTACTGCATACAGTATGTTGTGTTGTCAAAGAAAGAGAAACAATTGAGACCCTGCAATTGTGTGTAAATGAGGCAGAAAGTCAGATCAGCAACCTGGGGCTTGGTCACAATTTTTGTGATGCCATATGGCAGCAGGGTCTACCATTAGACAACACATTATGCTTCCAATATCTTCCCAGGTGGTAGTACCTCCATGTTTGTTAGGTGCCTACTACCTACTAATGTCTAAATAACCCGAATAATTAATTTATAGATGGAGTATCAATAAATTTAAACACAATAATTTCATTTACTTTACATGAATGTGTGTGTGTGGACTTCACAGGTCGCCAAGTAAGATGTCACCGTAGCTACATCACCTTACCTCTCCTCCTACCAGGTGAAGCTGTTATTGTTATTTTTTAACTTGTGATTTCAAATAGATATACAGGTACAGGCATCCCCCGGGTTACGTAAGGTATGTGTCCTTGAAAATTTGTCAGTAACGTGAAACCAATTTTCCCAATGACTTCCGTTATATAATTGGAGATTCGTTCCCAAGGAACTATTTTCGGCAAAAAGACGTAATACGGTGATCCCTCGGTTAACGAGATTTCGGTTAACGATTTACCTTCCATAAGATTCTTAACTTCGGTTAACGAGCAATCCCTCGATTAATGAGTTTTTTACGAGCCGACTTCAACATGTTTTCGCTTGCATTTGGCGGTCCACCAGCTGTAGTATTAGTCCGCCAGTAATCGGTTTTAAGGCTTAAATTCCTTACTATTGTAGTAAATATCAAGAAGTTTATACTATTCAATAATTTTAAAAGTTTAATATTAACTTTTTTAGTCATTTTAACAATTATTGAACATAATTGAAGGCAAAGAAACTAGTTTCTGGCGTGCCATCCAGCCTGTTAACACACCAGACAGGCATTAGTCTCTCTCTGTTTTCACTGGAGGTAACATCTTGCTTGAGACTCTCTTCAACTAAACGCTTTTTTCTGTGTTTCCAAGCAAATTATTGGTCATTTTGAAATTTATTTTACATATTGACAATATATAATGCAGTGCAGTGTTGATTTAAAGAAAATAATCTTGAATTACACCAAGAGAACTAAAATTTTATGGGTGAAATGGTGCCATGGGGTGACTTCTCTTCCACCCCAATGCCTTCTCTTCTCCCTTCTCCTCCACCCCTATTCTAATTCCCATCATCATCATCCAGGAGCCTTCTACATACACACCTCAAAGTAAGTGTACTGTTTTACCTTTTTTGTTGAATTTAGGCAATTTTCGGTGAGCTGGAACCAATTACCCAAAAACCCATCGAAACAATGGTTTCAGTTAATGAGCAACCTGCTGGAACGGATTGTGCTCGTTAACCGAGGGACCACTGTACAAGCACATTTATGAAATTTTTTTTTTAATTGAACACACAGTATAGTCTCGATTTACGCGGATTTGGTTTACGCATTTGGTCATTTACGCGGTGCCTTGCCAGAATGAAATGTTTTAATTACGCGGTAAATTTCATCATTTACGCGGCGAGCGGCTGGAGAGGTCCATACGCGCCGCACCATTTTTTACTCACGCGGTCCATTCTTGACCATACGCGGGAAGCGGTGCGGTGATGGGTGCGCATTAGGTCGCTCTTACGATATCGCTGACGTCATATGACGTATCGGACTGTGATTGGGTCACACATCCTTACCTCCCTCCACCGCTAGCTGTGATTGGTTTAATGTAACATGACGTGCCCTGCCACCAGAGGGAAGAAGTCGCTGACCTACCCGGGCCACTCTCATTGTTCTCAGTTCTCCGCGTATACAGTTCTCTCTTGTGCCCGTTATTCCCTTCAATATGGCTTCCGCTGGACCCCTACCACCCCAGAAAAACCTTGAACCTGGACCAAGCCATGATTATGTGAAGGAAGTCATCGAGTTGGAGGAGAAAATCAATCTCATCCTTGACAAAGACACAGTCAAGCATCGGCATGACGTGTCTAATAACCTTCTATTGAAAATTATGGAGCCGTATGTCCAGATGTATCACGACAACATCAATGCCAGTCGTCAACGTAGTATTATGGACTTCTTTGCCCGCAACCCACCACAACCACAGTCACCCCAAGTCAGTGATAGTGACAGTGACGATATGGACTTTGAGGAGTTTGTCAGAGAGGCCCTGCAAACCTCTGTGAATAGTATTAGTGATTCACCGGAGGGCAACTAATCTGCCCTCTACCTCGGAACCAGCCACCATTCCCGTATGCCGACTCATCTCTTCTACTAACGTAAGTGTTAAACCTTGATTTTTCTTTTACCTGGTACAGTATATTATTCTCTTATTGATATTTCTCTTCTATATTATGTGTGTGTGCATACCATCATAAAATTAAGATGTTATTTTTACTACAATGTACGTATTGTGTCGGAAAAAGTGGAGTTTGGGGGTCGGCCCAGTCTCTATTTCAATTACAGTACAGTGACCCCTCGTTTAACGAACGCCTCGGTTAACGAAATTTCGGTTAACGAACTGCCTTCCATAAGGATCTTCAATTTGGTTAACGAACAAAAATTCGGTTAACGAATTTCTTACGAACCGACCTCAACATGTTTTCGCTTGCACTGACCGGGCAACCAGCTTTAGTATCAGTCCGCCAATACATTAATCGGTTCAGGGCTTAAATTCCTTACTATTTTAGTAAATATCAAGAAGTTTATACTATCTTAATTTTAAAAGTTTAATATTCAATTTTTTAGTCATTTTAACTGAACATAATTGAAGGTAAAGTGACTAGTTTAATGCGCGGCATCCAGCCTCTTAACACAGCAAACAGGCGTTAGTCTCTCTCTGTTTTCACTGGAGGTAACATCTTGCTTGAGACTCTCTTCAACTAAATGCTTTTTTTCTGTGTTTCCAAGCAAATTATTGGTCATTTTGAAATTATTTTACATATTGACAATATATAATGCAGTGCAGTGTTGATTTAAAGAAAATAATCGTACAAGAGTATGGGTGTGTGCCGGAAAAATGTGCCTTCTACATACAAACCTCAAAGTAAGTGAACTTTTCTTCCATTTTTGTTGAATTTAGGAAATTTTCGGTGAGCTGGAACCAATTACCCAAAAACCCATTGAAACAATGGTTTCGGTTAACGAACTTTTCGGTTAACGAACGACCTTCTGGAACGGATTGAGTTCGTTAACCGAGGGGTCACTGTAATCCCATATGTTCTGTTATTTCGTTTTCGCGTTTCTCGTTTTACGCGGACCTCCACGGGTTCAATTGACCGCGTAAATGGAGACCACACTGTACATTGATTATTTTATGATATAATATGATAATAAATATACAAAACACTTGAATTTAGCTTACCACAAACGATGTTGAGTGCTACGTTAGGTGAGGTGAGGTGGTGCATTCCAAGTTACTGGGAGGGAGACAGAGGGGCACTACTGGCTCCTGCCTCGCCCTGTACAGTATTGTAGCAACCACCAAGAAATCCACACAAAATAAAATAAAAATTTCTGTGAATTTTTTTCAAATAGTATATTGAAAAAAATAAATAAAAATTTTCCAAATTTCAATAAGAGTGAATTTTTTGTCCATATCCCGAATTTATCGGTCATAATTTACGAAATCTGTAAGAGCGAATTTCCGCAACCAGAGTTTCCATAACCCGGGGGATACCTGTACATATTTTTAATAATTTTATTTTACCCCCTGTATTCTGTTACCTGCACACACAATTTTTCATACAGAATGTGCAAAAAAATTTAATAAAATAAAGGATTTTCATTAAGTCAAAAACAAAGATAATAAAACAGTTCTTACATCCCTGGTAGTTAGTGTGCAATCGTGGGAGGGGAGTGTTGGTGTTGGAGGTGCCGGGAATTGTTGGTGGCGATGGGAATTGTTGATGGTGGGAGTGTTGGTGCCGTGGGGAGTGTTGGCGGTGGTGGAGAATGTTGGTGGTGAGTGTTGATGGTGGGTTAGTGGTGGTGGGGAGTGTTGGTAGGAAGCGTTGGCAGTGGCGGGGAATGTTGGTGGTGTGGGGAATGGTGGTGGAGTGTTGGTGGTGGTGGAGAGTGGGGGGGGAAGGGGGTTGGTGAAGAGTGGTGGGTGGTTAGTGTTGTAGTAGTAGTTGTTGTTCTTGTTGGTGGCGAATGTTTCTGAACACACAGGGTGGCCAATTTTTCTTGCTTCTTATTCATGTTCAGGTTTTCACTTCAATTAGTAGCACAACTCTGCTTACAGAGCTGTAATATGCACCTGGGTTTTCTTAGCAGGTCAAGTCATTGAGGAAACAGAAAAGTCAGGGATCAGTTCAGCTGTGACATCACGATATGGCCTACGGTCAAGCATACACACACAGTCTCCCCCCCCCCCCATCACCTCACTGGTGAAAAATACTGTATACTGTGAGGTGGTGTCACACAGCATCTAACATATTCCTGTTTGGGTAATTCTGTCTTAAAATATTAACTTGTCTGATGTGCAAGTGCCAGGCTAAAAGACAAGAAAAATCACTGTCAGGCCCCTAGTCCAGGCATGTCTGAGCTGCCAGGCACTGATAATCTGCACAATCTGACTTAAGGGCAAGCCTGCCAGCCAGGCTCACTCCCTCCTTCCTCTGACAAAAGTGACTACAACAACCATCCACCATTATCCCAAAATATACAAAAGTTGAAATTACTTGTTTGTAGTGGAAATTATATTACTCGCAGCTTTTTAAGGTAATTTTCACGAGTGTAAGTAGGTAAAATTAGCTCAAAGCCATTCATAAACATGCCCCAGTCAAGATTTACAAACACACTCTAAAAAATTTACCTTAGATTACTGGTGTGTAGTGTTTACTCTTTGCTTCCATACTCTCCTGGTGTGTTGTACAACAGAAATACTTTATTAATAGGCAACTCAATGTCTTTCTTGACAGGTGACATCCAATCAATTGATTGTTTTGTCTTTTTGGGGGATTAAGTTTTTATCGCCCTACCTTTAGGCTGACTGCGAACTGTACGAGTTGACATCATTGGTAAAAAAATTGCAGGATTTACAGTGCTCACGAAAGATAAACTCATAAATTGTAAATTCCCATATGACACAGGCATTACTGTGTACTTTTTGAGAAAGTATTACTAAACAAAAGGAGAAAATAGACAGTAAATACAATGAGGACAATCTATAAAAGATCCCGATAATTGTATTTAAAGTTTTCAATAATTTTTCAAATGACACAATATATAATACTGTATAGTAATTGTTCTGTATTGAATACTACATTAAGACATTCTTAACCAGCATATGTCAGATGATGAAATTCACTCATCACAGAGATAAATGAAAAAATACTGGCTAAAGTATCTGATGATCAAATTCTGCAGTGATATAAAAATTATTACTGTACACACCTCTATAGGATGAAGTTATTGATGCTATTGATGGTTTACTGGACCCAAGACCACTTGTGATGGAGGAGTGGACCTGAGGGGATGCGGAAGAGGATATGCCTCCGGCAGACTCCGAGTCGAGGAGTGTGGTGTCTGACACAGCATCAGAGAATTCACTTGTCTCGTGCTCAGGTAAGAGAAGACTCCTGGAAAAGGGAGAATGAAAATTAATACTGAGACAAACACCATCTGAGATCATTTTCAGGTCTCATTTTTTCTATCCACATACAGTACAGTGCACTTATTATCTTTACTAAAACCTCAATAAATCGGACTCCAATATATCCGAGGTGCTAAATGTATTCTCTTTCGGTAGCTCATGCTGGGCATATTTTTCGGCCTAAAAGATCCTAATTGAACAGCCATCATTTCGAGAACCAATTATTGAATAATCTAAATAGAAAGATATGCTAATAAACATGTGAAATGATGTCTTTTATTTTTATCTTTAGTTAATTTTTTTTTAAATTGACTGTGGACTTATTTAAAATTTGAGACAATTAATAATTCTGTTGTTACTTTTTACTTTCAATACTTGAGTACTTTATGAATGAGATACTTCTTTACTTCTACTTGAGTACATTGACCTTTGGTTACTTTTACTTCTATTTGAGTAACATTTTGCCAATGTAACAGTAATTTTACTTAAGTACCAAAGTCCGGTACTTTTTACATACAGTATTCAGAGCATCTTTGTCTACTGATTGTCTTAAACAAAAAATGGAAGATATTTTGTGTAACTTACAGCATTTTTTAGTGGTTGTCATTCAGACATATCTTAAAGTATTAAACAGTACAATCACATAAGGAAATATTTTTTCCCCTTAATTAATATCCTTATGCAGGTTTCTTTATCCTAAAAGATGTGGCAGCACGATGAACAAGTGCTGTAATGCTGCCAGCCACCCAGCTGTGTCATCCTTCCTGTATCATCCCTGTCATTTTAGTTTAAAAGTAATATAAATGCTTTTATATACAGTACTATCTACTATTCAAGTTTGTGTTTAGTGAAATATTGGAGGTTAGTAATACTTACACACCTTTCCCCACTTTTTTAACTCTGGAAACTTTGAGATTTTCCAGTACTGTATGTAAATCTTTTTTCCATGTGGGGTACAGTATCTCAAAACTCATTCCATACTTTTTGAATACCCGTTAATGTGAATTTAAGTAACTCGAAGGTATATATACCTGCAAAGTATTCAATTAGTCTCAACCATCAGTGTTGAGGGTTCAACCTAAGTTGAGGCTTGTAGACTTGATGGGTGCAACACATGAGTCACCTTGGAACATATTTTGGTTATAATTAACAAGCTAGAACAAATTAACAATTATGAAATAGTGTACTGTAATATAAAACGATAAGACAACACACTCAACTGAACATTACCGATTACTACTTCTAAGGGTGATTCCACTTTCTATATCCATCCCCACGTGCTGTCGCTTCTTTCTCTTGCTGGGATGGTGATCTGATGACCCTGACGATTGCTCTGATACCCCTGAGTCACATGTCTCATACTCTGCCTCTGACTGAGATTCCTCTCGCTCTGAGACGCTCCCAGTTGATAGGTCTTCTTCTTCTGCAAGTTGATTTATGTCTTACATCAGCAGCTATTCAATAAGTATCATGTGTCAGAAATGGAGGGCTTCTTCTAAAATTATATTATATAATCAAGCCTAGATTTAGTGACTCACTTATAGTTTCCGTGTGTACTCGCTGATGTGGCAGCAAACCTCGTAGTCTTTAACTTTGAGTAATACCTGTTGTATCTAAAGATTCCTTTTTAGGGAATAAAGTATTACATACAGGCATTGGTAATCTTTTGCTTAGTCCCAGGCACCACTGTTTAGAAGATAAATGGGTTCCAATATCACAAACCAGAGCTTCACTTTATGGAGTAGATGTCACTGATTTAAGCAGTCCTTCCCCTAATGCAAAGCCATATTTTAAGACCCAGTCTATCCCTTGGAGTTTCAAACTCCTCTGCCCCCCACCATGGCCCTCACTCTCACACACATTTATGAAACAAAGAACATGTCCTGTACTGTAATTTCATTACATCAAATCTTCAGAAAATATCAAGAATCCTTATGTAGCTATCATTTATCTATCTGTAAAGTATATCATTTATTATTATTTTAAGTATATTCTATATTTATTAACTAACTAACTCATATACTTTTTTTACAATGGCTTGTCATTGAAAAAATATCATGAGTCCCCGGCATTTTAAATTCTAGGTGAACCCCTGTAGTCTTGGTGTATAATACTTGGGTTGCTTAGTCTATCCATAAGGATATAGTTTTGCCCTTGTCTAATGATTCAAAAGTTCAAAATCTTAGGAATATTCACTTTTCAGTTGTACTACAGTATAAGAACTGCTCAAATTGCAAGCTTCTGACAAGCACATACATCTTATTAACTCTCCTACTCTAGTCAATAATCTATTTTCCTTTTCTCTTTGTCACAATGTTGCTTCACTCTCTCTCTTTTACAGGTACAGTACAGAAATACCCTATTTAGTGCTCAGGATACATTCCTGGATAATAGAGCGCTACCCAAAACAGCGTTTTAAGGGGTCATTATACCATTGCACATATGAAGATGCGTTCCTGACGACGTTATTTTTTACCTATGAGATATATACAGCCTTGTATGAAGGGTACAGGTTGTGTCACTGTAAAGGGAATACTGTTCTCCAATATTTGAAGATGTACATTGGTGTCCACATACAATGATGTTCATTTTATTACAGTGTAATTGCATTAATTGCACATATTTTGACTAGAATCACTTTATAGTATACCCAGTATTTATACACTGTACTTAGAGAATTGTTCAATGAAAATAACAACTATTGTGAACTAACTGTGATTTCTATGAAAGAAATTTAACCCTAATCATACCTGCTAAGCAGGAGTGTGCTGGGGCCGATTCGGTCCGGTTCGCCCGAACCGGTTGTTAAAATGTTGAATGGATCACCAAACCATTTGTTGATTTTTTTAAGAAACATTTAGCAGTCAATAAAAAATTATCTTAAAATGGAGCAAAAAAGACCTTCTTTTCCTTACTCTTAACTAATACTGTATGTTACACATTTTAGAGCAAGTTTATATCAATGTATCACAGAATCACTTGGACACAAAGCTAAAACAGTGTTATTTTTTCCACAAAAACCTCACTTTAAATAAAAGCACTGAAATATGGCGTCTTTATTTCCCGCAAGTACAGTAGAACCTCTAAACACCTGACTTCAATACACCTTAATTCACTTTTTTGGACTCTATGAGGTGCACCGGACTGCCCTTCTATTCACTAGAAATATTTAAAATAGTCTGAAAAATCCAGCATCAGTCCGGATGGTTTGTGTGTTCGCAGGTGTGGTTGAACATCTGTGCGTGGGTGTCACGCAGCACGCCACACATGTCTGTCTCGAGTTCTACCACCTTTATATATCATATCAATGTACCGCACCTCACTGCCTAGAGTCATTTACGTCAACTTTTTATGTAGAGTACGTACCGTATTGTCTTTAACGAAGATACTTGAGAGTTTTAAGAAATGGATAAAATTTTGTAGAATATTGCACCTATTTTAAGAAATTGGTAATATGAAAAATATGCTTATGAAAAGAATAAAACTTGTTCACTGAATACTGAAAAGTAGTCTTATCAAATGTGCTGTAGGACTAACAAGAGCTAAAATGTCTTGAATTAAGACAAAAGCTAAGGTGCTCCATTGTTTCCCTTTTTCCTGTGTGATTTTATCAAGACACTGAGTATACTGTATAAACAGGCTGGGGGCGTCAGAGGGACCGACCAGGTACCGGTATGTACAAGTATTGCTGTATTCGTCAGGTATACGAGCGAGTCATCGTAATGAATACGTCTATAATAAGTAATAGAAAAATATACAATATGTAATTTGACTTGAAAATAAAAGGATAAGGTGTATCAGAAGGCATTCACTCAGGATTCGTTCCTGGAGAGAGAGCTTTCAGCAAATCAGCTGCATAATATTTGATATGGATATACCTTCCCAACAAAATTATTTTTTACTTATGGGTGATACATGATGGCTCGATATGGCTACTAGTGCACTTAGACAACTAATTAATGAATAAATCAGGGAATATGCTGATGCATAATACACGACAATATTATTTATAAGAGTTGATAAATACACTATAATATTATTTACTAAGGCATGTTGTGGTAAGCATGGTAGATGAAGAGCGCTGTTAACATGGTGAGGGAGAGTGAGAGCGATCAGCTGTTCACAATTTGTATAAAAGGAATTTAATACGATGCAATGATTCATTTGGGGTTTGGTTGTGGGATTCTTTTGGGGGGAAATTTATTATCTTATGAAAATATTATATCAACCCAGCACCAATTGAACCAAAACAATATAGGAATTGTGGTGAAATTGCATAAAGACGTGTTAAAGTAGTCCCGGTGGAGGGAGCCACCCACCCGCGCTACCTCCCACCTGCTGCTCCCAGATAAACTCATCTCCCAGTTTTTCTTTATTTATAAGGCACAAGGGCAAGCTGAAATGATTTTCCTTCAATTCAATGGTTACTAGTATACTGTACTTACATATAACACTTTACAGAAAGAAAGTCATATCAGTAAAAACAGTTGTCAACAATAAGACTTATGTCTGATTTTCTTGAAACAATCCAGAAAACTGGGATATGTGCAGCACCCCTCCCCAAGAGATTCTCTTTTTTCTGACTTTCGCTTTTTCCAGACTGGATTCTGCCCCAATTAGTTCGGTGTATCGACGTACTAATGTGGTTTCTATAAGAAGCTTCCTCCAATACATTCCACATCAATTTACTCATGAAGCCTACTTTGACCACTGACAACATCTTACCCACCAACTACAGTAGTTAATCATATATATCTATGATTTCATTAGCATCGAATAAAAATGTGAGATCCACATGACGATGGTCAATCATGTTTCACTTAAAACAAAAAGAAATTATAATTACAAGCGTATTCAAGATGACTGAAATTTATTCTGTACCAAGCAAGTAAAAAAAAAAAAAAAACCTGTAGCTAGCCTAATTTTTGTCAGGTTGAAAACTTTAAACACCTAAATTTTATAAACGAAGGTTCATTTAAAATAATCTTATTCATGAGTGTTTACTTTACTTTATGTATGGCAAATGGCAATTGCTCAGATAGCCAATAGACTGCATTGCTGCTGTTCAGATAGCCAATAGAATGAATTGTTGCCAATTAATCGATTTTGTTCCTTGATATGACTACAGTATCTATTTTTGTGGCTTTTTTTAAATTAGGCAACATTGTTTATACCCTATTTACTGTCCTAATCCTATATTTCGAATGCTTTCTATCAGTCAAATTTCATTAGTGAACTTACTTATTTTAAATGATTAAAATCTAGCGACTTATTTGGTTTGGGAACCTGCCTTGGACAGTAGTCGTCCAGATTGCACTGCGTGTCACTAGTGTTGAGCTCAATGATGAACAGATCGTGTCTTGACGTGTAGTGAACTTGTACTGACCTGTTGAGACGGTCAGTATTTATTTCATGCAGTTTACCATTTCTAGCACCTAAAACACAGTAAATATGTGAATGCAGTATATGCTTTTAAGAAAATACTGTACCCTAATAAAGTGTAATCAAAATGAAGGTAATATCACAAGCAGTAGTCGTTGTGATATCAAGTTACATTTTAGTGAAAAATTAGTGTACAGTACTGTACTCTAAGGTAATGTAATTGCATCATTAGTGAGTACAGTATAAAGCATACGTGAAATAATTTCTGTCAAAATGTAACAAAATGCTCTTCAGATAGGTTAAAATGCGTTGGATTCCGGGGCACTGCCCCAGACCCTACTAGGGGAGTTAACTGCTCACTCAAGACACCCCCCCCCTAGTGTGTTGGCTCTCACTGTTGGTATTCGCCGATTTACACCACCACCTGAATTTCGACCTTAATCAGAACCGGTTGTTAAGAAACTGCCAGCACACCCCTGCTGCTAGGTGAAACTCATCTTCAACTTCCCCTACTGCTTAAAGGAAGAATGATAATTAAGAAGTGAACTAACAGTGCTTTGGTTTCTCGAGTGAGGTGACTATGTAATCAATGTTGCTACCCCCGGTAATTCAATGTCTGTGCATTTAATTAAAACCATAAAACACATTTTAGAACTTCTTTGTCCAAATAGCTTTCTCTCAGGAACTAATTCTCTCTCATTACATGTATTTTTATGTTCATTTAGTGCATTTTCATTTTGTACAAAAATTTTCAGGAAGGCAGTACGTAATCCTTTTGCATTATAAACAGCTGGACAGATGTCACCTTCTCACTGGCCAATGCTCACTGACTGACAGACTGCATCATCCAAAACTGGGTTTAATAAAGCTGCAAGATCAATAACAATGAGTTACACTATTTATGAACATTTGTTGGTTGTGAATGATACAAGAAATTGTGGCTGTACCGGAGATGAACCAACTAGAGAGGGTCTGGGAGTTGTCAGGCTCTTAATGAAACAACCTGTGTCATTGATCAGTGAGAACGTTAACAGTGCTCAATGAGGTATAACTATACAACCAAAGATTCTCTGTGAGAACCCTTCATTCTCTTTTAAAATTTTGGTCTAAATTAGAGGCTAACACTCTACTGAATACAGTTCTTATTAAAAATAAATAAATCTAATCCCAATGTTTCTGTACCTTTCCTACCTTCATGCTCCCTCTCTTCATCCTCGTGTGATATTACCCGTGGCTCCCGAAGTTCCTCATGCAGTTGATCCATAAAGTATCTAAGAAACTCCTGAGAATCTTGTTGTGTATATCCTCGAAACATTGGGTACAACTGTAATGAAGGAAAAATTAATAATCTCATTATTACAATGATAGAAAAGAAATTAAAGAATCCTAACCAAAAGGCTTTGAAAAATGATAGCCTCTTAGATTTGTAAAATAGCATCCACTAACATCCCCAAACAAGATGTGGCAGACCAGTTCACAAGCTTGATAAGACGAACTGATCAACACTAATTTCAATTGTGGACAAAAACAATTTGGCAGGGAAGGAGGTGGTGTATACACCACCTGTCTTCCTTCCTGCCTGCCAAATTCCTTTTGTCAACAACTGTACATAAGCAACAGTAAATGGCCCTCTACCCTGGACTAGAATTGGAATCCTATGGATTACCAAGCAAACAGTTTAAATCACTTAAATAGAATGTATAGTACTCTTAAGTCTCTGCATCCTCAATAAAAATTCCACACAGAGGCAGACAGGATGAAGCATATTCATACTGCTGTACATCAGTAAAGAATAAGGGTACAGCCACACGCACACACATTTTGTCGCCAACATCTGATCAACATAAGAAACGCTGGTCTAGTGCATGCAGCCGCACCCTACCAGTCGGATCCTTGTGCCTAATTTTGTATTGTCGATCACATGTTAGAGACAAAATGTACGCTTGTGTGGCCACATCCTCAAGAATAAAGAATATGCTCACCTGTTTAAATCCATGGTACAACAAGGAGGGCATGACAAAACTTGGCCTTTTTTTATGCCACATCTCCAACATTAATCTTTGAAATGGTCGGGCCAGGCCAGGTGTTTTTCTTTCATTGCGCAGGAAAGCTGGACACTCAATCATAAACTGAGCCAGGGGCACAGAGTTGCTCATGGCCTGGAGGGCAGAGTTCATGTAGCAAGTTAAGCCCAAGTTGCGCAACCCAACCAGTCCTGAAACAGAAACTCATCTGCATTTATTTACTTTTCACTATTCAGAATTCTGAATGAGTAATATACAGTACAGTATAGTCTCGGTTCACGCGGTCAATTAAACCCATGGAGGTCCGCGTAAAACGAGAAACGCGAAAACGAAATAACAGAACATATGGGATTAATTGAAATAGAGACTGGGCCGACCCCCAGACTACCCTTTTTCCGACACAATACGTACGTTGTAGTAAAAATAACATCTTAATTTTATGATGGTATGCACACACAATTAATATTTAAGAGAAATATCAATAATATTAGGTTTTTTAACACTTACCTTAGTAGAAAAGATGGCTGGGCACACGGGGATGGGGGGTTGGTTCCGAGGCAGAGGGCAGATTATTGGCCCTCACCTGTATCACTTGTATCACCTGTATCACTATCCACCACAGAGGCTTGCAGGGCCTCTTTGTCAAACCCCTCAAAGTCCATATCCTCACTATCACTGACTTGGATTGGCTGTGGTGGGTGGCAGGTGAAGAACTCGGTAATGTTTTGTTGACTGGGCAAGCAAGGTTAAATAAACCAATCACAGCGCTCGGCAGAGGGGGTGCATGGGTGGTAAGGATATGTGGCCCAATCACAGTCCGAAACGTCATCTGACGTCAGCGGTGACGTAAGAGCGACCTAGCGTGCAGCTTGTCCGCGCTGCTTCCAGCGTAAATGCTGGAATGTACCGCGTAACTAATAATTGGCGCGTCTGGCCAGGTGCCGCGTAAATGACCAACCGCGTAAACCGAGACTATACTGTACTGTATGTGGTAAATTACCACATAGAACATTATAAAGTCTAGGCTTTCAAGAAAGCTAACAAAATCCTAAGTTGTTACCTTTAACAATAAATAAACACAATAAAAAATTATATAAAGAGAATATAACTCACTGAAGACAATAGGTAACAAAAAAATCCATTCATACTAAACTACCTATAATAGAGCTTATCAATTCATTTCATTACAAAGGTAAAGTTAAGAAATCAGAAAATAAAAGTAAAATATTCTAAGGTGGTACAGCTATGTGAGTGGAAAAGAAGCAAGAAGTCAAAGCTCTTAAGTCTACCCAGTCAGAATTAAAAAATACAAGACAGAACATTAAAGAAAGCTGAAACAACTTACCTTTTGCCTTAACCTCTTCACTTTCATCTTCCTCATCATCTTCTTCAGCACTAGACTGACTAGGTGTGATTGGCTGAGCCACAGCCACACCAGGGGCACTGATTGGTCCCCCTAAATGTTGCTGTTGACCTGGAGGTATGCTGAGACTTGCCATTACAGATGATGTTACCTACACAAATAATATATAAAATTATAAATACTGTATATTTAATCATTATGAATGATATCATAAGAACTATTTATAGATGTACAAAATAATTAAGATGAATTTACCAGAAAACAATTACATGTACAATTTAGCATCATAATTGCAAAGTCAAGCAGTTACTTGTGTGTATGTTAACAGTGTCCTTATGCTACCCAACCCTCAAACATTTGGCAATTCATCACAAACTTGCCACTGTTATGGCTTTTACCCTCAGTTCAAGTACAATTAAGTTTCTTTTTACATTGATCTTAACAGCTCTTGAATTTTCTGTATACTGTCCAGTAAAAACCCCATAATTTGAAATAATAGGGGTGCTAGCCATTACGAAATATGGATAACACTCTCTCTCCCCCGACACCTTTTCCTGGGTTGAAAATCAGACTTATGTTTGGTTGCCAACAACTGTTTTCACCGAGATGATTGTTACATACTGTCAAGTGTTATACTGCATGTGAGTAACCACAGAATATGTCCTATAAATAAAGAGATAACTGTATACTGTACAGTACTGTAAAGATTAAGGGGTGGCTCATTTGTTTGTGATTTTGATGGTAAATATTCCTTATTTCAAACTTTTTTTTCCCACTCATATCTTGAAAGCTAATGTTTTCAAACAGTTATATCTTTACAGACATTAAATTCAGCCAGAATTGGGTATCCTTAATACAGTAGTTATATATGGATCTATTTGCGATGTATCAATATTAATTGAACATTATATATGAGCCAATGAACTGCTAGGAATTGCAAAGGGCAGCAGGGCTTCTTAGCCTATTAATGTCAGCTTAAGAAAACACAAAAAACTATGGGTTTGGGAGTATTAGGGTTGTGGGCCACGTGACCAGTCTAGTATTAAAGAGCTACTGAATACAAGGTGACTCACCTCCATTTCACACATATAGCACCATGATCGAAGGGTAGTTAAATTTAAGGTGATGCAGTGAGAAGGGAACTGGTTGTTGTGGAAGGTTGAGTGGTCTGCACGGCCCTCTCCACACCCAACTTGAAGACATCCTGAGTATAAACACAACCTCAGGGATGAATCCACTGCACCACACCATTCACATGCTATCTGTAATATAATATTGACAGTATTTAGGTTTAAAACATGTCTAATTTTTATAAAATTAATCTGCACTCGAGACATCTTAAAACTGTAATATTTTACAACTTCCATAAGCAAGATGCAAAAGAGCTATATTAAACCTGACTCCCCATACTGTATCATCCTTGGAGCTACTGTACCTTCAACCCACATGATCCTTAATTGAGATGTACAGTTGCAGAAGAATATTCTGCCCCACATCGTTTTGGCCAGTGGAGACATCCGGCAACTCTCTCTGAGTAGTGAGCAGGGCACGTATCAAGCCCATATGAATAAACTAGTCTTGAACCCTTGTGTGGGTGACGTTTGGATGAAACCAGTTGCTCAAAAATATTTTGTTTGTTATCCATCACTATTTTAATAAATTAACATAAATATAACTATATGTTTGACACAATATGAATGTTTGCCTTCATTATAATATTAGAAAGGTTAATAAAAACAGCATAAATTGACTGAAAATATAATAGATAATTTTACAGCTCTAACAGTTATTGTCACACCTCTTACAGGTGCCCTGTGACGGTCACCTGCACCAATAACATTGGCCTGCACTAAAGAAAATGGGGAACAGATGCTGGAAGAAACCAGAATCAGTTACACATGATATTCTAAAAAATCTGTTTGCCCAAGAACATATTATCAGTAATGTCAGTGGATGTAGCATTCTCCCATGCTAGCACATGCGCATAATGGACAGACAGCTGCGTCATGCTTCGGCTGGCTGACATGACATAACGTTGTTATCACTCCGAAGAAATATCAGCAAATTGAACCGTGACTTATGGTCGCTATCATTAATCCTATTGGGAAGTTATCTTTATGTAAGCCTAACATGCTCCCGCGACTGTTATCTGCATTACCTGGCAGCCGTGGTAATCCATTACTACCGAAGTGTTCAAAACACTTCATTCGAATAGCACTGATTCTCACAACAAAAGGATATGAAGCGTAATTGTGGCTGCGGTCCTGTGGTTGCCTCAATCTGTCCAGCGCCGAGCCTTGAAAATGGATAATCGTGAGGCCAAGGTTGCTCTATGAGGAAGAATCGTTGGTATGAGAGACGGTGGCTATACCAACACAGATATAGCAAGAGAACTTGGAATTGACCGGAAAACTGTTTATCGGTGGCTGAAAAGATGGGATGAAAAGGAAAATCTGGTAGATTGGTATAGATCAGACACCCCTAGAAAGACAACTCCAGCTCAAGATCAAATGATACATCAAGCTGCAGATCAAAACTCATTTACGAATGCAGTCATTATACAACAAGACATTCAACTTAATGTGACATCAAGAACTGTACGAAAGAAGCTCGATGAGGCTGGAGTACTTCACCAAACACCAGCAACAAAGGAACAGCTAACAGAGACACCGTCAAAATAGGCTAAGATTTGCCCTGGAGCATGAGAGTGAAGGACTTGACTTTTGGGGGTGTGTCATCTGGTCCGACGAAAAAACCTTCTGCTCTACCTCCCACGGTAAACTACGCTGTTGAAGGAGAAACAACACAAGGTGCTGAAGCTTTCAATGTTAATATTACTTTTCACTGTCCCTAAACTTACTCTTAAATAATACAGTTAAGACATCTGCGTATATAATTTTAATGGATTATTACATGCTCCACATATGAATAACTATAAAGCACTTTGTTATTTCCAAATCAGGTATGCCTGAGAAAATGTCTTCGAGGTGGCGAGAAGCGGTCACGTCACGATCAACACGTAGGGCTAGGTATACCTCTACGGTGTTGGAGAGCTGGTAGAAATAGAAGGCAGGTTTACAGCAGAGAAGTACTGTATATAGAGATCTTGGAGGAAGTAATGCTGCCATCTGTTAGAACATTATGCTCTTCCCTATCCAGAGCGAGTCCTCTTCATGCACGACAACTATACAATACACACAGCCAGGGTAGTAACTCGCTGGTTTCAAGATCAAAGAAATATGGATCTTCTCGTCTGGCCAAGTAAATCTTGCGATCTGAACCCATTGAAAGTGTTTGGGCGAGCATCGTCAATGTGTGGGAGCCAGAGCAAGAGCGAACCTCTCTTCAGTTAATACAACATGCGCAAAGAGATTGGGAGGTGTTCCAAAGGAAACCTGAACTTACTTACAGGCATGTGGCGTCAGTTCCTGAACTGTAATAGCCCATCTTATAGGCAGAAGTATTTATATGAATGGGTTAATACATTTGATTTATACAGTCGACCCTCGTTAATTCGGACCCCTTTAATCCGGATTTCGGATAATTCGGATTTTTTTTTTTTTTTGTATTTTTTTTAAGATTTGTAGGAATATTACCTACGCGGACCTTAAGCTAAAATGCTGGTCCACCCACTCCTGGGATAAAACATGTGACATCTCCACCACTAGTGTGGGGGGGGGATGCAACTTTAAGCTTCAGACATGAAAAATATTTACCATTTACTGCCAGTAAACAATGGAAACGTAAAATATGTACCAATTAGTAATGAAAAGTTGTGCAGTTCCTTCAGCAAATGAAGCTCACCAACTTACAATAGGCTAAAATTTTACCGTCATCCCGCGGGCCACACCTGACCATCCCAAGAGCCACATTTGGCCCGCAAGCCATGAGTTTGACACCCCTGCACTATACCCTCGATCTATCACGATTCGATACACTGTATTATGCTTTCAATATATTCCAGCACATACATATATAGTAAATGGACCACCATGCTCATCACTTGATGACAATATTTTACAGTGTACAGGATAAAGTACTTAGTATTGTAACCAACTGTTTTGTTATATCTGTACTTTACAACACTATGAACAAATATTTGTACAGTGGTCCCTCGATTAATGAACACAATTGGTTCCACAGAGTCATTTGTTAACCGAATCTATTATTTCAGTGGGATATTGGGTAATTGGTTCCAACTCACAGAAAAAGTACATACAAAGTAAAGTACTGTATACCGGTAATAAAATTAAACAAAACATTAAATATAAACTAAATACAGTACAGTGGGGTATGCTATAACGAACGGATCCTACTACGAATATTCCTATAACGAACGGTTTTACCTATAAAATTGAGAATGCTATAACGAACGCAACTCCTACAACGAACGCGGATGAATACCGGACTATTTCGCCTGGCGCATGAATATTGTTGTACCGCGACCCACAACAAGAGCGTCAGGCGCCATCTTTGTCTCATTGTGTAGCCAGTGCACCACTGTTATTGTTGAAATTTCGTCTTTTGATGTGGAAATTCGCGTTATTTGTATAACTATTTTGTTATACAAGTATACAATTGTAACAATGAGTCGTCCAAAGCGAGTGAGAAAGCTAATAACCCTTGAAACTAAGAAAGAAATTATAAAGAAACGTGAGAATGGAAGAAGCATTGCGAAACTTAGTGATGAATATGGGATGGCTAAATCGACTATATGTACGATTTTGAAGAATAAAGAGGAGTTAAAAACTGTGCAAGTGGCTAAGGGAATCTCTAGACTTAGCAAAGCAAAGTGTAATGTTATTGAAGAGATGGAAAATTTACTCTTAGTGTGGATAAAGGAGAAAGAAATGGCAGGTGGTAACATTAGTGAAGCTATAATTTGTGAGAAGGCCAGACAATTGTTTGAGGACCTTAAAGCCAAGACTCCCAGTGGAAGTGATAGTGATGTGCCAGTGTTTAGGGGTACCTGCATGCTGAATAACACTAAGGTAAGATAAAGTACCGTATTTTTTACATTTTCCACAGAATTTTTTCAGTGTTAAGCGGTTGTATTTGGGGGCCTGGAACGGATTAATCCTATAACGAACGAATGCTATAACGAACGAGGTTCTGGAACCAATTACGTTCGTTATAGCATACCCCACTGTACTGTACTGTACAGTATAATGTACAATAATAAATAAAAAACAATAGAGTACTGTATTTTAACTTACTTTGAGGTGTGTATGTCGTATTACCGGCAGCTTTGTTTACATATCAAACAGCTGATTGTAGAGGCAGTCGATGATGACATGCCATATTCTTTACAGAGTGCATTGGTTCTAATGCCTTCTTCGAGTTTCATAATAATTTCTGCACTGTATATTATCAATATGTTAACTAAATTTCAGAATAACCAATAATTTTAATGTAAAAATGAAAAATATTCAAGAGCCCAACAAACTGGATGTTCACTCCACTGAAAACAGAGTTAAACTGAGAAGTGTTGTTGGGTGATTCAATCAGCTGATTGGCACACAAAAAATGTTCCCTGTACTGTATATATTATCAATATGTTCACTAAATTTCAGAATGACCAATAATTTTAATAAAAAAAATGCAGAAATATTCAAGAGACCAACTTTCTTGATATTTACTCCACTGAAAACGAATGTAAACATAAAACTGATTACTGTATTGGCGGACTGGCAGATCAGCTGATGCGCACAACAAAATGTGTTTCTCGTAAGGCTTTCGTTAATCGAAGTTTTGTTCGATAATTTTCAGTTCGATTATAATCGAACTGAAAATCCTCATGGGAGCTAATTCGTTAATTGAACCGTTCGTTAACTGAGGGACCACTGTACTGTAAAAAATTTCCAAGGTAAATAAACACAACTAAATCTTCAACAATTGTATACAATGAAAAGTAGTCGTGTTATCAATTGAGAGAACGTCATTGTTGAATTTCACTCAATGTTTTACCTACAGTTCTGTATAATGCTGTACCTAAAGTTGTGAAAAGTACTGTACCTATGCAAAATTATGGTTAATATAAAAATATCCTTATTTTTACCTTACTACTACAATGAAACTGGTTGAATTTAATGTGTACCAGCCAATTTTGAAACTAGCTACGTATACTGTATATGGCACCAAATTTTACTAGTCAGTCACTTTCATTCCTTAAAATCACCATTTACAGTAAAATGGTATAATAATACATAATTCCAGGATTTAACTTTACTGAATAGTACTACTATACTATCCAGCACAGGGTACATGATTTTTTGTCACCATCAATGTGGCATATCCCTAACTGTAGCATTCTAAAGTAAATATTGGAGAGATGCTGCAGCACTTAACACTTAGCTACTATGCAATTTCAGTAAAGGGAAATCCACAGATGATATAATGACTAGTACTATACTGTACTGTACCTGAAATTCCATTCCATATAATACCTTGCAAGGATATCTGATTATCCTTTTAGCAGTCTTCGGCCAGACTCCACATTTGCTAAGATATAATATTACAGAGTTACACATTCTGAAACAGGGTCACAATGCCTGATACTGCTGGCCCCACATAGAAGCCTGGTAGCAATCTACTGATTAAAACAAGATAAATACAGGTACACCAATAATATACAGTACAAAACTACCGGTATATGCCCAGGATGCATTGCAACCACTCTACAGTGCTCAGATATAAGTGTACAAAACATGCACTTAACTGCCAAAATATATGAAACACGCCAGGTGACTGGATCCAAGTTGTGTACTGTAGTCCAGTCTATATAAAAAAGTGAGTGGGTCCCATAAGCCTGACATACCAGTACATTAGGGACAACTGAATGGGGATGTCCCAGGATTGAATCATCAACCCTTTGGACAGGAAGAAGCTGTTGTTTCCACTTGGCCAATGACAAAACCATGCCATTTAGAGCAGCAGCAAGGACTCAACATTTGTTTGATCACCAACTGACACCTCCAAGTATCCCCTCTTTTTTTCATGGACTACAGTTATGTTGGATGAGATAGATTTTGTATTTAATTTATTCTCAGTGACACATGATGGATCCTAAAACCTTGGAAGTTAAGCCTGATCTACTCTGTAAGTTATAAAAATAAACCACATAAAAATATACAATACCTCTCTTTTCTCAGCTAGAAGTCTGGCACTGAAGTTTTTGTCTATGATGTACTGGTGGGGACACGGGGCACCCATGGTGATGCTCAGCCATTAACTCCCAATCTCTTAGCCTCAAACTGCCAATAATAAATACCCAATTTTAGTATTAAGTTTAAATACAAGATTAATATATCCTAATCCTAATAACTGAACTCAGAACAATGCAAAGGTTAAAAATCCACTTGTTTACTTTGCGAGTTGTGGACAGAACAAAGTGTGCAGAGGTTTAATTTTGACAGTTATTTTCAATTATTTTCTACACGCTCCTTGCCCTAGCTTCCCTTATCTTGTTTCCCTTTCGATTTCCCTTATGCAAAACTGGGAAAGATGTAAAGATGACATATACTGTACATCCAGTTATTACAGTACTGTATATTGAAAATTCATTTTTGAAGCAATAATTATGCAGAATAACATATTTTACTTCATACAAGACACATGGGCATATAAGATGCACCCTCCACTTCAGCAGGGCATACTGTACTTATGAAAAAACTTTTGTGTGTATTTACCTCCTGTAGCCACAGCTTTCTTAAAATAATATATATACAATACAGTACCAGTAAATGTGAGGACTAAATAAAAATAATATCAATAAATAAGTTACAACAAAAAATACTGTACTGTATTCTCATTTGTCTGCTGGACAACAAAATTTGTGTCGAGTCTTGTGTTAACATAATCAATACAAAACTAACAAAATACTGAAAACAAGTATAAAAATAAATAAACATAAGGAATATTATCACAGATGAAAAGTAACAGCTGAAGCAAACACACAACGCCCTGTACCTCCTTTTCCAGCATTCACCAACTATAGTATGCACCTACCTTCCTTATGTTATTTATCAATGGCGCTACCGAACTTCAAATAACTTTTTGATACAGTACAATCTAGATTATGAAATGCAGCTAAAACTATTAAAAAAAAAGACATTTGAAAGATTAACACAATCACCATTTGCATAGACACTCGCTGCTTCGCCATAGCAACACAAACCAGCTGGGATGCTACCTCTGCCAACTCCCTAACCTAACCCAACCCAACCTAACCTAACCTAGGTAAAATTATTGTTTCAGTTATCCAGCGATTTTTAGGATTTCAAGTTTTGGAATCAGTTGCACTTACCTTAGACTCGGAAGACTAGGAGTTAGGGTCATCAGGGTCATCATCCTCGTCATCCACAGGTCGTACGCGTACTAGCCACTGTTTGTCAGCATTATACCTACAGGGCTGGTTACAGTTTGTGCGAGTTACCTCAGTTGGCAAAACACCGCATTCGTGGAGAAATTTCAATGCCTCGCTGTCCTTACCGTAATATTCAACGAGATATCTTGCAATGGCTTGGAAGTAATTAACATCACTGCCATTGCACAAGGGAGACATCTTGTAAATAAACTCAAATTCAAGGGGGTCGCAGCGGGGGGCCTATACCGACCTGTGATTGGTTGATCCAAAATCATACCCACCAATTAATGTGCGAGATTCTTTCAAAGAACAACTGTGTATGTGTCAGACTCTAGTGCATGCGTAATGCAGCATACTAACCAACACACGATCACACAGGAGCTCTCTGGGAAGGTGATAACACCAACAAGAACTAAGAAAAAATACGATGATTTTCCAAAATTTTATTGCAATTCTCTCTGAAAGTAATCATGAGCAGAAGACACGCTATAGATGTATCTTAGAATTTTTTAAACTACTGATTCCCAAACTTAAAATCCTAAAAATCGCCAGATGACCGAAACAATAATACTACCCTAACCTAACCCAACTGAAAGGGGAGGCCCCACAGTCGTTTGATCTTCTGGGTGTGTACCGCCACGTACAACCATATAAAATATTAAATATCTCGTTTAAACGTAATTTTCACAAAAGGTGCTATTGAAGAAATGTCTTAGAATTTTCAAAATTACTGACCAACTATAAAATAACGGAGATTTGTTTTTTGGCAACAAGTGAAATAATACTGGGTCAGGTCCTTCTGGTTAGGTTTCGTTAGGTTTTGTTTCGTCAGTCTATTGCGTGCTTTTACCCCACATTTTCCCACTACATCAAACCTCTGCCCACTTTGTGCAACCAATAGTTGGAAAATGGGGGGTAATATCTCAAGAACTACTAACTTCTCACGGAAATGAAGGTCAAAATTCGTATGAAACAAGATAAATTTTCACTATAAAAACAAATTTTCCATATTAATTTCCGTGCATGGTAACTTCGAAATATTAACCAAGCTAAATTTAAATTTCTAAGGGTAGAGTAGAGAACATAATACACATACTAGCTTATATTGCGTCACCCACATGCTTAAACTGGAAACAATAGCCAGAGTGCAGTACATGCCACCGGTATTATGTCACCTCTACTGGAAAATATTATCATTAATATAATCAATCTTAATGATGACAAGAAACAAAAATATTCACCCATTACGTGTCATTTAAATATGGGAAAGAATATGGCCAGTGGGAGAGACAATTTCAAAATATAACTTCAAACCTCACAAGGGCAGACGATAGTCCAGACGATATTGCAAAAAAATGATTCTATAAATGAAGTGGAAATAGACTAACGACCAGACAAGTGAGCATCGAAACGTCTCTAAGGATGTAAAATATCTCTTATAGTTGACTGATAAACTCTGATCTTCTGATGAGGAATGTGATCCTTATTTACATCACATCATATCGTTTATACTGCACCAGCTGTCATTTGACGGAGAGAATATTTTTTCTATGATAAACAAGAATATCACTGAAATAGTAACACAATCAGACTTTTATCAATAAAACAGATATGTTGTGATAAAATGTTACTTAAAATAAAGCATGATAAATAAAAATAGGATTTTAGCATACAGTACACCTGTTTCATAACCTGTACCAGCGACGACCGCTGTACAGTGATCCATGCTTTAAATGACAATATGGAATAAATGAAGATATACATTTAATTCTGTAATAATAATGACTAAAACAAACTGAGTGGAGATTAGAAAAGTCTCAACTGTGAGAACCTATATGAAAATAAATAAGCGATAAAAATATAAAGAGCAAATAGTAGTTATTAAGCATCGTCATCTAAAGGAAATCCTAGAAGATATGTAGTAAAAAAAATCCTTTGGAATTTTGTTTATTCTCAAAGTATCACGACCAACACACTTAACCGTCTCTGGGACACACTTTACGTGATGATTCCGTAATATAAATCATATCATTATATGATAATGATATGATGTTTCATCAAGGCATGGTGATTCCACAAAAAGGCATAATTTCGTTAGCGCTACCTGGTGTTTCCTCGACATTATAATTATGATGCATCATGAACACTACTAGTCTGGCAGATAGGTTACCTATTTGGGCGATATTGTGCCTTTGATAATAAAAGCATGATCTTCGGCACACTTTTTACTTTTACTTTTATCCTCTTCGCCACTGATCGGCTCGTTAGCTGCTTGGGCGATCGGTCACGTCTCTGATTACTTTTCCTTTTCATTTATCTTCTTCACCAAAAGATCGGCTCGTTAGCTGCTTGGGCGATCGGTCACGTCTCTGTCACACACTGTTGGCAAGTACTGGGCATGCACCGGCTCCTGAATGTGCCTGAACCTGCTCCAGTGTTGGTCAAGTCTCGTCTTGAAAGAGCTCACACTCGGTGCCGTCACAACACTTTCTGGTAGAATGTTCCAAGAGTTTACAACCCTCACTCCGAAAAAGTTTGCCCTCACAGTTTTCTGGACTTGCGACTTCTTCAATCTTGAGCTGTGACCCTGTGGGGTTCAGGATGTTTAGTTCACACTCAGGATGGAATGGAGAAAGGAAACTCACAATGTGCTCTCATGTATACATGTTGTATTGGATGTACAATGCAGCTTGGTGCTGGGAAGGCAGCATGGTTACAAGCGTGATGTAGAGAGAGCTGGTTGGTGAGGATGCTCAGAGGAGGACCAGCATGTGGGTCGCCATGCTCGCCGGTGGGAGGGAGGACCGCCAGGCAGGCGGAGGAGGAGCGAGGGCCGCCAGGCAGCGGCGGAGGAGGAGGAGGTGTTGCTGGCTGGTTGGTGGAGGTAGAAAGAGACAGGTCACCACGAGGTCAGGTCTTAAATAGCGGGGGGGTAGGCGTGGCTTAGTAGTTGACCCCCGCTCCGTGATGTATGGCGGCGCTGGTTGACCTAGACCACGAGGCACACACTGTGGAATTCGTGGGGTCAGCTACGCAGCGACAAACAGCGTTTGTAGGGGAGAAATCCACTACAACCCCTTGTGGGGCGAGCGTCCGCCAGCTCCAAGTAAGGACACTCGACTGAGTAGTGTCCTTTGAAATGCTTATACACCTCAATTAGGTCACCCCTTGCCCGTCTGTAGTATAAGCTAGGCAAGTTCAGGCGCTCCAATCTCTCAGAGTAGCTGAGGTGCCGAAGTGCAGGCACCCGTCTGGTGGCCCTCCTTTGATCATTTTCAACCAACTGACGGTCCCTAGCATATCTCGGGGACCAGACGGGGTGACAGTACTCCAGATGGGGAAGCACTTCACTCTTGAAGATCGTTACGAGGGGCGGACTGTCTAGATATCTGAACGACCTTCTTATAAGACCCAATAATTTATTTGCCTGATTTACCTTCTTCTCCTAATGGCCCGAAAACTTCAGCTCATTGTCAACATGCACACCTAGGTCCTTCTCACATTGTCTCAAATAGTGCAGTTTCTTCATCCCGTTGGGACATATGATACGCCTCCTTACCGTTGGTATGCCCCAGGTGCATCCTCTTACACTTCGTGACATTGAAACTCAGCAGTCATTTCTTCGACCATTCTTGGAGCCCACAGAGGTCCTTCTGCAGCTCTTCACAGTCCGCTTGGTTCTTGATTTCCCGAAATAACTTGGCTTCATCGGCAAACATTTGTATGGAGGAGTGTACAACGTCAGGCATGTCATTTATGAAACAAACAAACAACAGCGGGCCCTATGCACTGCCCTGTGGTACCCAACTTGTGACAGGTATGGATGATGATTTCGTGCCATTAATCACCACACACTGCTTGCGGTCATGTAGAAAGTCTTCTATCCACGCTAGGACATTTCCCCGAATTCCGTACCCTTCCAGTTTGATTTTCAGCCTTTCGTGGGGTACACTGTCAAAAGCCTTGGCAAAATCTAGGTAAATATTGTCGATATTATCACCCCGTTCCAGAATTTGGGTCCAAATATCCAATACCCCTGCATAAAACCGTGTTGGCAATCCTTTACAAGGTTGTTTCGTAGTAGATGTTCCATTGCGGCATCTCTGATAATACTCTCAAGTACTTTACATATTATGCTGGTCAGGCTCACCGGTCTATAGTTGTTCGTGGAGTGACGATCGCCCTTCTTGAAGATAGGACTCGCATAAGCCACTTTCCATTCACTGGGGACCTTTTGTTCATCTAGGCATTTACAAAACAGGATCTTCAGGGGCACGGCAAGCTCGTTGCACAACTCTCTTAGCACTCTAGGATGCACCATGTCAGCGCCGAGACTCTTATGGACCTTTAGCCTGGACAGTTTATTTCTAATACCCTCTTCTGTGAACACAATGTGGGTCAGTGCTGTGTCGAACCGTCTGTCCTCAAACGCAGGAAGGTTAATTGCATCCTCTCTTGTGAACACCGAGGAAAAGAAGTTGTTCAATGCCTCAGCTTTATCCTCGTCAATTCAGTCTCTGCCTGGTTGCATAGCAACCAATGATGCTCCAAGATGGCGACGGGCGAGTCCACTTCACGACAGGGGAATCCACTTCCACTTGAATTGATGACTGCTGGTGTTGAAGTCTCAGGTCACCTGCTCACTAATGAGATGTCGCTACCAACTTTCCATAAGATATAAAGTCATCAATAACTTAGAATCGGTTATTGGAAATAATTCTGCACACCTCTTTGGGCAACAGAATGAAAGTCACTCAACTATAATCGTCTCACTACGGGATATATCACTACACTTGGATATTTCATGTAACAGGTCACTGTTTTTTTGTTTTTCTTGTTTCGGGAAACACTGATGATTTGTTATGTAGAATGTGTATTCAGACCGGAATGTGGTAATTCGTAACCACTAGCTGCCACCTTATGTTCTAGGCCTTCTTACTAGGCCGGAACGTTTATATTATATTGGGTTTTAGTAACGAAACCCAATTGTCTGTTATCCATTTATTTAGGACCTACTAAGACAATTCCAAAGTGTAAATCAACCGTAACATAATCACTATAACTATGAGTATTAAGAGAAGGACGGAGGCTATGTAAATAGACCTGCTTAAAGACGTCCGACTTGGGTGAGTCGTTGAAAAAGAGTGCCCCCAGGGCGTTGGCTTCTCGACGCTGACCTAAGCAGTGTCTGGCCGCACCTCAAGGAAGCTGCCGATCACGTGATATCAACATGACGCCTCATAGCCAGTGGAAAGTTACAGTGGATGATTATGTATATAAATTAATATGTAATTAACCAGGGCTGTGGAGTCGGAGTCGGAGTCGGAGTCGAGGAGTCGG